TAAACTGGGTGTTCGGATTTATATGTCACTTAGTATATTTATTCCGTCATTCATCATTTGTATCAGCGGAGGGTCACAGGATGCATGTCCGGGAAGATATTGGTCTAGGGGGAGATAGATAATACGGTGTAGCCTAAATTTGATTTAAACAATAAAATAATAAAAAGAATGCTCTTATTGTTAAATAAAAAAATTCCAGCAAATCTATTTATGACTTCTTCCGTATCAAAATAATGTACATCTTCATGGACAAATAAAAGTGCCAGTCTAGTTAGGCAATCTTCTGTCATAGAGTCTACCATCGCTACACTAACTGGTAATTAGCAAGGATACATAACTGTTTGATGTTTGAGTACATTTCAGCATCGCAATTTTCGATAAGAGTTCACAGCCAATATTAATTCACAATTTTTGGAGCATACATTCCGATTTCCAAAATAAGGTGTAAACAAATAGCAATATTTGCGTTTATGGCTAGTCTGTCTCTGGCGCCATTTTTTGAGTCACGCGATTTTGAAACTTAGGGCTCGCGCAGACAGAAAGCGTTCCAAGTTCCGCGTTCTGTGTTCCACGTTCTTTGTAAGTAATAGATCTCTATAGCGTGGCGCAAACGCAGCGACAGTCAGACCGCGCCGGTCAGTGTGAACGCTTGCGTTCTATCGTCAGAAATACAAATAACTCGTGGAACGCCTCGTTCGTAAGATGGCATAGAAAAATTAATTGATCTGGTAAAAATACTGCCAATCAGTTGGGGTCTTGTTTTTTTATTTCCTTTTTTATAAAATCATGCAATTCATTAGAACTACTTAATGACATTCGGAACTAAATAAAAATCGTTCTTCATCTTCAATCAATGCAGGAAAAAGAACACTGAACTCGTCTTTATCACTTCTCTCACAATTGATGGGATGGATATCTTTGTTTCTTATTAGACTCTTGTAACTCCTCAAAAGCAATGCTTCGTCTTCTGAAAACGAACTATCCAAATACATGTTTCACCTACAAGTAATCTTTGTAAAATGGAACGCAGTGTTCGTGACTGCCTCCTGTCTGTATTAGAACTCGTAAGAGGAATTGCCCGCGACTTGAACGCTGAACGGTTGTTCTGTCTGCACGAGCCCTTAAGAGACTATACGTGAAAATTATTTGAGAAAAACCTATTTCCAACGATGTCTCCTCCAGAATCCTGTTTCTCCGGAATCAAGAGGTATTTCGCAAATCGAAAACATCAAATACAAAATAGTTTCAAGAGTCACCCATTGAATTCTTGTCCCATGTTTGGGAAACACCCTGTACATGACTAAACTAACATAATACCATGATGCTAAGTTACAAACAAAAAGTGTCAAAAATATGAAGTAGCATACAGGGTATGCTTTCAAAGTTGAGTCATTTATTTTAACTGCTTGTAGGACTCTTCAAAAGGAGTTGATATACCAAAAATCACCTATTTAAAAGGTGCATAATAAAAAAGCTGGTAAAAGATTTAAAATTTTTAAAAATAGTAATGTTATTACACAGATATTTTGATGTTCTCGACCAATGCCGCGTAAAATCTTAGCGTTTTTTGCTAACTACTCTTATCGTTTATCGAAATTTGGCAAACTTTTTGTGTTATTGTATGGTTTTTAGTACGTGTCTTTGGTCCGATCGGTTATATCAGTCTTTCAATAGTGCGTATACTTTCAATTGTCTGATTATTTTGTGCGAAAAATAGGCACATGTTTACGAAAACAATGAACTAATGGACATAATACTAATATACGGAGAGTGCCAACAAAATGCAGCCGCAGCATGCAGAATGTATGCGGAAATGTTTCCTTTAAGAAATCATCCGGCCCCACGGATGTTTGTAAATTTAGTTAGTTTAGCACCGGATATTTAAAAGAAAAACGCTGGATAGGGTGCAATGGACCCATTTCTTGCCTGCTCGCTCCCGGATTTAACGCCTTGCAATTTTTTCTGTGGGACTATTTGAAAGAGTTGGTGTATCATGATGGAGCAGGAAATACTCTGGGAGAGCTTCAACACCGCCCTGAACATGCTTGTGATTCAATTCGTGGACACCAAGATTTTATTTTCGAAGCTTGTACAGTGTCGTGGATTCACCGAACAAGATTTTGCGTTACTCGAACAAATGGGGACAATTTTAAACAGTTTTTGTAAAAACGGTATTCATTTAACTTGATAATGATTGTCGTAAATAATTGTCAATAATGTAAACCCTCTTGTTATGTAACTTTTTGGATATCAGCTTCTTTTGACGAGTTATACAAGCTGTTAAAATAAATGACTCAACCTTGAAAACGCCCTGTATATGTGTATGAACTGATAGATGAATAGAGCGAGATTTGAACACTCTTACGGTTAGATAACTATGATGCTTATTACTTACTAACTCCTTTTAATCAAATGACACCGATTTTCTCTAATTTCGAATAATGTACTAAGACATGCAGTGCTGCCAAGCCGAAAAACACATAATCTTTTATTTATATTTGCGTCAAGCTGAACATATAGGCAACCAGACTTACGCAATTCTTTTATTTCCCCGAAATCATCGATGCGGTTACAAATTGATCAGGGTTGCAAAGTGTAGTGATTTTTCAACAAATCTGGTGATTTTTCCCCTTTGGTATCCATTAAATATTTGCAAAAAGTCTGCATTTTATTGAATTGTATTACGTATCTTGAAAAGTGACATTTCGTCGGTTTTTCTAGACATTTCGTAGGATTTTTCTACATGATGTTAACTTAGCACAAGCACTTGTGCGCTCGTTTTCTAGCTGTTCGTGTTGCTTAAACGTAAGTGAGGAGCGATCATAACTTCAAACGTGGAATAAACTATTTGGACACTAAAGACTACCTAGTCTGCAAGGTGACATTTCGTCTGTTTTTTTACGTTTTCTACATAATAGCCGGCATTCCAATAGCCTTCCAGTAGAAATGTCTGACTGCTGAAAACTACTCCTCATCCCATATTCTGAATTTTCAGAAAGGCCCCGCTCCTACTTCCTAACCACATATTTTCTGTAATTTGTTTTTTTACTAATGTACGGTGGCGTATGTGTGATCTGGATGAAGACTCGTATCAGAGGTAAATCGAGTGTGTAGATCGCGAATCTGACGACAGCATAACTATAGGAACCACAAGGGCTCCCGAGAGCGACATATTTTTACCTCACTCTCGGCCCCACCACTTTCTTTCAAAATTTCATTTCATCTGTACGTGCATAAAAGCTCGTAAACACACTACTTTCGATATTTTCATGTAACCGATGAAAATAAAATATCCGTCTTGCCGTATCCAGGTCAAAACAATTGGAATGCAGTCCCAAAAAGCAATGCCCCTGTCTCTTTAAGTTGCAGAATATAACTACCAATTATCTAATAGAAATGAAACAGCGATCTAACTTTAAGCATGAACCCACAAACATCGCGCACTATATTTTGTATTCCAGATAAATTTCCAGGTTATCAAAAATATTATGCTCATGACTTCCAACGTCGTGATATTTCAAAAACAAAACTAGAAAACTGTAGTATCTCTTGTTAAAAAAACATTCATTTTTTGGCGCTATCCCATATTTTCTCAATAATAGCATAGGCACCTTTTTTATTCATAATAATGTATGTTCCGTAACTAACTTTTGAGGAGAATGATTTGAATGACCATACATACAAAGCATAGGCTGCCATAACAACACTTTTTTCATATTGCTAATATTTTTTTTTGTACGGTAAGGATATGTATTTTAGTAAATTATAAATTATCAAGTGCTTACAGTTGTTTCATAATGTCCTGTTAGAATGCAAGACTAGATATATTGACTTGCATTAACGAAAATGATTAAATATATGATAACTCTGAAAGTACTATCCCGATTTTGATGAAATTTTGACCCTAGGTTACTACTATGAAAATGACGAAAACGCTCTGCAGTTTTTGAAAATCGGTACAGCGGCGGCGGGGTGATCGTCGAAAAACAAACAAAAAACGGTCAAACTTCGTTTTTCGAGGTTTCTGAGGCTTCTGACAGACTTAGGTTTTGATTGCTGAAGACAGATCTGAAATTATTTTTCGGCGTTGTTTCATTGTTTCATCGTTCATTTTGTATAATTTTCCCTTCAGTTGTAAAGGTTCAAGCGCGACACTGACACCGATAATAGATGTTGGCGTCGAACAGCCGGGACTAAAAAGTTCATCCCATCGTGTAGGTGACGCTCTTGCCAATTGTAGTGTGTCGAACGTTGTAAACAACGTTGTAAATAACGTTGTACACAACGTTGGAAGCATCGTGTGGGACCCGCATTAGCGACTAAATAATTTGATGTTCTATGCAAGGGCACGGAACAAAATCGACATAAAGTGTATGTAAGTTCAAATTCAAAACGTGATTAAGAATAAAAAAATATTTGAGGCAAGTATAGAGTAGCGTTGGATTTATTTCTGTCATAACAAAAAACAGAAGGTTTGAGAAAATACGGTACAACCCGAAAATGGATATATTATTACGAAATACAAAATACTGGAAGGGAATCATCCGCATCTAGAGACCCAAAAAAGATGTGTCGACAGATTTTTAAATACTCCTAGTAATAAAAATTCGATAAAACCCCACTCGAACCCTAAACTAAGTCTTGCAATATTCGCATAGGCCCCTAACAGTTAACTAACCATGAGACAACCTACAGGTTCTGAGAATAACTCCTGTTTATAAATCATAAATCACACTTTAGTTGTTAGTTCATTCTAGTTGACGGTTTTGAAGATATTAAAAAAAATTGTTTTTTATTTTTGAACTTGAAAAAATGTTAGACAGGAGAGCCCCCCCCTTGAAATGCGGTCCTGTATATGCTGTTTCATTTTTGGTCGTGACTTGTGAATCACCCTGTATATTGACACTTAACCACAAGACTATAGTTTTAAAAATCTAACCAAGCTGACATCGCTGCAAGCAAAGATTATAGTGTGGGTATTTGCAAGCCAAACTACTAAATATTTTTCAATCTATATTTACAACAAAATTACGTTTCATATGTACACTTCAACCACAAGAGAAACGTATCATAAAAACATTCAATGAATGCAATATTAATTTAAAAATTAAGGAATAAAACTGAAACTGTTCTAGGCAATGCTTGTAGTACATGGAAGATGCCTGAGGAAAATCACTTAACCACAAACATCTCGTTAAAGCTTGAATAGATTCAAATACATTTGTCTGAAAGAAAACTGATGCAGTAACAAATATATTTGATATTTAAAAATTGGTTAAACAAAACATATTTTGAAAATAATAGCTCTGATACTTCAAGCAATGCCTGTAGAAAAATTCGCCCAGTATACAATCCTGAGCAGTTAGCATTCACAGATTCAAATATCTGAGTAAACATCAATTAATATTATCAAATATTACCTTTGTGTACTGGTACTCAGGGTTATTCAAATATATTGGATATACGGCAAATCACCCTGTGTATGATCTCAATGACGCATCTATTCAGCGGTTAACATCGCAATCTTGACATTTTTAAAAATATGCACAGCCATTTTGAAAAAATATATCATAACAAGAGCCAAAATATTTTAAATTACGCATGAAGTTTTTGAGAAATTTGAAATACACAAGTAAGCAATCATTTAACTAAACTAAAGTATATAAGTATGGTCATCATATTCTATGTCGCCTGGTATATTCACGTGCTGAGCAGACTGCTAGTTGGATATATAATATAGACAAACTCTAGCCGTTTTGAACAGCATATCTAACTGCACAGCAAAAAATTGCCATTTGGATAGTTGTTCTGGTATTCTGGATAACTTTATATGTAATAAGTAATAAAATAATTAGATGATAAAAACCTACTTTCCATGAATGATGCGTCTTGCCGGCGAGTACACAAAGCTTACATATAGATAATTAAAATGTAGGAGTAACACTCGAAATTTCAAGTGCAAAACACTAAGAAAAGAAACGATTATAAAAAAGGCCAGATTGAAAACCGGACTAGAAGGTCGACTGATAGGGGCAGTCGTTGAGTAAAGGCAGCTAGTAAAAAATTAACAAACATTTAATAAAAATACACTAATCCAAATTAAAACAGCAAAAACCAAAGTTACTTATGAGAGACACTGTTTCAATTACTGGTAATTTTCCGTACTCTTTAGGAGGGTCTAAAATGCGGCTTTCATCCTGTACATGATGTCCTCAAAGTTGGGACTTTCCTATACAGAGCGTATAGGTAAGGCGATAATAAGCAAGTTTTCTTAGTACCAAAGCATTAAGATAACCAAGATCCAAAAAAACTATAAATAGGCTAGCTCGACCCTGCCTCCCTCCCCCCTCCTCTTACTCCTTCGTGAAAAGGGATAATGTATTGTAGTAGTAGTCAGTATCCAAATCAAGCGCCGCGCGATGTGTAGATTTACCTAGTTTATAAACAAGTTGCATTTTAAAAACCGAAATTTCCACATTCCTTGAACAATGGCGTAGTTATTAATTTGATGTTAGTTTACATTGAGTGTATTCAAGATACTATTGATACTCCACGATTGTTTTCAGAACGTCGTTCTCGATCAGACCTGTGTAGATTTGTTTATATCGTGCACATTAGAAGACTTAGACAGCCCCAAATGTTGCAAATTTAGGAAGAAGTAAGCAAACTCGTGATTTTGAATCGAACAGCGAAAACTGCAAGCATTATTTAGAAACATGTGACAGGGCAATTCTTGTAAGTCCTTACCAAATGGATCGTATTTTTCTTCAATTACTTTTTCACGTTTATGGTGTACTTAGTTGTCTCTGAGAAGTAAAGTCCCAAATTTCAAGACACTCGTGTATATGTATAGACGAAAATCAATACTTGACGAGACTCTTCTTGTGATCACCCAAAATAGGTCATGAAGATAGAATACAGCAAATTACCAGAAGCTCTGTTGGAACTTTCAACATAAAAATTAACTGCCTCCACCGATGCTTCTAGATTTAAATTAAATTCATGGTAAATTGTGAAGAATCTAAGCAACATAGTTGTACTGGTTTGGATTATCTTTATCCCTTTCCATGTAATCTCGGTCGATCAAAGATTCTATTCTTTTCTTCAAATCAGCAGGCTGAAATAGAAATATTACAGTTTTCAAAATAAACATAAGCACTGATCAAGAAAGTATGCAAGCATGGGCGCCCGCAGAAATTGTTCTCTGGAGGGCAGATGATCAACGGCTAGAAATAACTTTTTGTGAAAGTGTACCTGCCCATAAACGTTCTAAAGAGCGGGGGGGTAGCAAAAAATTTTCTCAGGGAAGAGGGTGCAAATCCTAAAAAGCTTCAATATTGTATATAAAATCATATAATATTAAAATATTTATTCCGATCTGCACCCAATCACAAGAATAACAATAAAGAATTCAGTAACAGTTTGTCATGCTATAACAATAAATAGTTGCAAAATATATACCTATCACAGTAAGTGACGGATTAAACAAGAAGACAAATAAAAAACAATCAAAATAGGCATGTAAGATATCCCAGTACAAAAAAAATGCAGCAAAAAGCTACATTCTGTTCATTGCTGAGTAATTTCTTTTAAAACCGCCTAAGACCACCTATAAATTATCAAACCTGATGTCACAACCTTGACAACACCAAAACTATTACACATCCTTTCAAGGAGCATGACATGAGGAAAACCTCTTTCAAGATAAAAAACTTTGTAGTGCATATATTTTAAACTTTTACACGGGACTGATTTAACTGCTAAAACAGCATTCTAAAAGAATGGAGACCAAATAATTGCACCATAGTCGACCTCACTCCTTATAAAAGAAGTAAGCATACAGTGCTGTCACACTTCAACACGTCAACAAAGCAAGGCCAGTTTCTGACACAATATCCCAAAACCTTGTTTGGTGACACGACCATTTCGTTATATGCTCAAAAAACATCTTTGAAAGGCTGACATCTAACTATAGCTACGTTGTTCAGCTGATAGTTGAACAGTATTGAATTGGTTTTGCGAGAAAAGCTTGAGATCTTACATTTTCTAAGATTTAAATCAAGTTTATGGACAACAAACCTATCACGTAAACTATAAAAGTCTCGTTGGAGATTTCGACAATCATGATAATTTTTAATTTCACAGAAAACTTTCAGGTCGTCAGCAAAAAATAGATTAGGTTTGTTCAACTCTGATGTTAGGTCTTTAATACAGATTATAAATAACAGGGTTACCTTGGTTAGATCTCTGAAGTGGCAGTGAAAGAAAATGGTGTATAACCCCCATTCTCAACACTTTGAGTTTGGAAGGTAGGATTCCATAAGTGAAACCATACCGCTAGATAATCCCACTGCACTCTACTTTGACAAAAGTAAGGAATGATCTACTGATCTACTAAATAAGCTGGTCGACTTCCTCAGGAGGTCGGAATTATTGGGAGAAATATAAATAGGTGTGAGCCACAATAGATCGTGATTGACCCACTCACAAAAAACTTAATCTAATCTTGAAAAGCCACTGTGGACTTGAAGTAAAATATTCTCACCTTGACAGGAAATTTAAGCTGCAGGTACAATTCGCTAATGAGAAGATTATGGCTAAGGGTTTTCCGCATTTTCATAATTCTCACAATTGCAGCGTCAATTTGGTACTGCCTGTCTTGGAATACTCGTTCTTCAGTTGCCTTTTGCTCTTCAGTCTGAAAAAAACCATACACACTTAAACTAAAGAAATGCGGAAATACTATCAAAAGTATGAGAGATATCTTCTAATATAAGGTATTCCTTAATGAGGTGCTAATATTCCTGGATATAATTCCTCAGATAATTCTAATAAGAAAAGTTTATATGAACGTATGTAGCTTTTTAACAGGGTCTTGAATTTTAAGAAAAATCGATGTTTTCTTCAAAGGTAATTAAAACATTACTTTATTTATTATTTAATATTAACGTGGCAGATTTTAGTTATTCTACTGCGACATCAGTGACGTGTCTTGTGATATGTTTTACAAGAAAAAAAAGTGAAGACTGATAATGTGATTACAAGGTTAAGTTACTTTTTCTTATATTAAAAAACATAAGAAATGAATGGATTTTGTTTTTATTAACCAACTTTTTTTATTTTCATATTCGCCAAACATTCGCAGAAATTTTGCGAATGCGAATACTCAAAAATATGGGAATATCCCCAAATGGGAATATTTGTTACATCTGTAGTAGACACGTATGGAGAGACGTCCCTTGTGACACAACGGGATAACTTTATTCACCAAAATATGTAATTTTATACGATCCTATGTCAAAAATAAAAATAATATTTTAAGTACTTTCAATGATGTAAAATATTTTATTCTAAAAAATTCAAAACCCTCCAGCTAAAAATTCAAACCAAACAGACGCATGTTCATATAAGTTCATGAAATTATTTGAAGAATCATATCCTATAATATCAGCACATTTTGAGGAAAATCCTATAAGATAATCTTAGTTTTTTTTGCTTTTCGATTAAGAATAGAAATAGTATATTTCTTTGCGTTAATTTCTTGGAGAAATGAATACCTACCGTCTCCTTCATCTGGATTTGGTTGATCTTGATCCTGAACAGCTTATTAGTAAAATCATTGTTAAACCTAAATTTATCATTATCTTCTATATCTCGTCCCTTTGGAATCTTATTCAGGACCCTAGCTTTACCGCATGCCAATGACTGGAGTGTCCTTCGCAATTCTCCATCTTCAATATTAGTAGCAGCCTTGATATATTCAAAACCAAGCTCATCATAGCTATTGAACAACAGTAGGACTAATGTTTGAAACAGGGATACTACAAGTTCTTTAGGACCAGCCTTGAAGGATGCTTTAAGCACGCAGTATCCTAAAGTCGGTTGCCACTGCAGTTTTCTGCCACTATGTTTGCTCAGGTAGAAGTCCCTGAAAACATCCTGAAGCCTGACCATGTACTCTGGAAGGGTCACATCCATAGGCTGGTAGGTTGGCCAATATCCCATGGTCAGTATACTGACAGTCATATCAATTGACGTTAAGTTCCTCCCATTAACATTCAGATGCTGTTTAAAGGCAACATTAATGTCTTTACTAAGTTCCATGTCTTTGAACATTCCTTCAAGCTTGGATGTGAATCCCCCACCACATTCTTGTTTCAACTTGCTGAGCATACTCTTTTCGGCATCCACACTTGCCGATTTGCCAACCAAGAGTCTCTTTGCCAAATCTTTTTTGTAAAAAGCTTCAAAAACGTCTTTGCCATGAATAAATCTGAAGAGGACCATTATTTTGTCTAAAAGTCTTTCTAACTCTTCCTCTGTGGCTTCTTTGTTACCTGCGCGGAGCTTGTAATCCACGAATTTTGCTGCAAAAAAACATTTTTTTTTTATTTGAAAATATATCTCAAATAAGTTTTACATAGTGCATTTGATGCGAGGTCTGTAAATTAGGTGATGAGACTGGCAACGATTTTTTTTTGTGTTTTTTTATGGTCATAAAAATGAGTTACATCAATTTCGAGCACAATGTGCCTACGGAGATAGTGTTTATTCAAGCGCCCAGGTTTTTCGGTGGTTTAAGGCATTTTCAGATAGGGTTGAGTCGATTGAAGATGAACAACGAAACGGAAGGCCTTCACCTTCAAGAACCAATGAAAATATCGACAGAATCCGAGATCTTGTACGTTCAGATCGCTGGTTGATAGTCAGAATGATTGGGGAAGACTCATACCACCGTTAATCAATTTTGACCAATGAATTGGGGATGAGTAAAATCTGCGCAAAAATGGTTCCAAAAGACTTTTAGCAAGACCAAAAGGTGATCAGGAAGAAAAGGTGCCTTGTCTTTTTGGATTCGATTGAAAATTACCCCCATATTCTGGAACGAGTGATTACTGGTGACAAGTTTTGGGTGTCTGAGTACTACCCAGAAACCAAGCGCCAGAACAAGGAGTAGAACAGTTCAACGTCTCCGAGGCCCAAAAAAGCAATAAAGACGAAGTCGAAGATCAAATGCATGCTGACTTGTTTTTTTCGATATCGACATGAGGTTCTTGAAAAACTTCGAAAAAGGGTCGTTCATGTGGGACCAAACATCAAGAACAACTGGTTTTTGCATCACGATAATGCTCCTTGTCGCACAGCAATATCAATAAACGAGTTTTTTACCAGTAAAAGCATTCCTGTGGCTTTTGTGACTTTTTCCTCTTCCCGAAGTTGAAGTTGAAAAATCATCTCAAGGGAACAGTCGAAAACATTCAAATGGCTGTAACTGACCAGCTGAGGCTGAGGAGTGGAAGAACCGTCTCCAGCACTATGTGCTTCAGAAGGAAGTTTCTTTGAGGGTGACAATATGAAATTGTAATTATATTTGAATAAAAGAATTGAGAAAATCAGTCTCATTACTTAATTTACAAACTTCGTACAATAACCATTTTGCCTTATCTGCTCTACCCAAGATAATTTATTTTGTTTCCTACCCACGCGATTGACTCGATCCCCAAAACCGATTAGTTTAAATATTATCTCATTTTCGAAACTTCGCTATTACAATACTTCCCCGCCAGTACCCGTGCGAAGTCAAAAATACATTTTGTTGCCTGATGGGCCAAATCAGAGGCGAGTTTATATATAACCGATTGCTAGACAAATATGTCGACGTACTTTCTCACGATGGACGATTCATGGATGTTGAAAGGGGAATTTTCTTTGCCCAGGTTTCCCCTATGTAGCTTAAAGATATTAGAACATGCAAAAGTAAAACATGTGACATACTAATAAGTCAAAATGATTATTATGCTTGATATACCACTAACTGAATTTCTTGCTAAAACAACATAAGCAAAGAAAAGTTTTTCCAGCTTCATGCATTATTATCAATAAACGATTTGACATTTCAATATTTTAAAACTCAAATACTATATAAAACCCAAAACCGGTTTATTTGTAAATAAAGGTTTTATTGACTCCTGAAATATTGAAAACGTGTGACTTCAGAGATTTTTTATATGACTGATTCGATTTTAACCAGCAGAGACCACAATACAGGATACTAGTGTGTCATGTGACAATCATTTTTAATAGTTCCCAGTAAAAAACCTACCTATCAACTCAGCCGGTTTATTTGTTCTCTGGTTAATGAAATGTTCAAAGGCTTCTTTAAGAGAGTTTCCAAACTTCTCATTTCTATTGAAACAGACCACGACAATATTATCCATGCAATCTTTGAAATCCAATAGCTCCTGTACCATAGTTTTATCTTTTTCTGGATCTATAACTATAGTCTTTCCTCTCTTTTTTATATAAGCGTTAAAAGCGCTACACAGCTCAGTTAAGCCAGTCTTTACGCGACTTAGTAGTTGATATAGTAAAGTTAAATCGTGGATTCTGTTTTCATTCAATAACTGATCCAGGCCTTTCTGAAGGATATTGTTAACATGCTCACTCAATAGTTGTTTCTCCACAGTGTGTACAAGCTGGTGTTTTGTGCTTGAATCCAAATAATGCAATACTCGTTCGTTTTCTTCCTGAAGTCTTTTATCAACATGAGCCAAATAGTCAGGAACTTCAAGTTGTTGCATCAAACGTTGCCCCTCGGCAGCATACAGCCGCTCAGTTGATTGCAAGAACTTTTGCTCGAAAGCTTCATCATAGATCTGAAGATCCGTCAACATCCTCAGGAGTGACTTGAGTAAAGTGCGATCCACTTTATCACCTTGTCTCTCCTTTTCTATAAGCATGAGTAGCCCTTCAACAACACGAGTTTGAACCAAAGTATTTAGAATGATGTGTTTGCTGAACAATTCCAGTCCCATATCCCATATTGATGAGATATTAGGATTTTGAAGAACGTACGTTCGATCCAAGTACAAGAAAATACTCCTAATCATTATCATTTGGTTACAGTGAGCTAGCCAAGTATCATTCATTTTCTTAAGAAACAAGAACCGATCCATGGATTCCGCCAAGAATTGCTCTATGTTATGAGAGACATGGTCTTCAATTAGGTTGTAGAGTCTTGAATAGAGAGTGGGCGCCATTTTGTGATTGCACATGTTTTCTACAGCTTGGTAGAGCTCTTCGAGTACATATTGGTTGGGTTTGGATTGCTGAATTGCAAGAACTGCACTTTTCAGCTTTTCCCATGTTTGTTCGCGGTAATCCTCTGGGAGTTTGGGCTCACCTGAACAAACAAACAAAAAATAAAAATAATTCATTTCTGGTTGTGACTTCGTTGTGGCACTTCCAAAATCCACTATGTTCAGAGTATATAATTTTCGATTCGGATTTTTAGGTTCCACAACAGTTTGAAAAGTTTAGGATGAAAATCTATTATTGTTTAACAAAATTTAGATTCATAGAAACATCAATAATATAAGTCAGAGACACCACTACCAGTTTAAAAAGTTGAGTGAGTTAGTTTAGTTAAGCAGCAAGGACATGTACAATCTGGATTCTAAAATATTAAAAACGATAAAAAACTCATTGCTGGTCATTGCATCACAACCAGTACTTTTCCTCAAAGCCTAAAGATGGCTAGATTAGTACGAATACACTAAAAGGGTAGTTTGGATGATGTGAACAATTTTTGACTGATATCTATTGTTCCCATCATTGCTAAAAATTTCTAATCTATTTTAAATAATCAGATAGTTAGCTACTTTGAGATCAATAGCTTGTTGAATGAATGCCAATTTGCATTCCATAAAGAGAGACCTACAATGTTTGCTATATAGTAATTTATGAGACCTTTAATAAGGGAAGCAAAACAAAAGCTTTTGGCTGTGTTTCATATGCTGTACTGGTAGAAAAAATGGTCTAGATATCGTTTTGAAAATAACAGTCTAAGTTTAGGCAGCAGCGGTGGCCGCAGTAGTAGACTCTTCGGTCTCCTGATCATTCGCCGTGCGCTGTGCGGGTTCAAGTCCCGTCCCAGGAGAAATTTTTCTCTTGGCTATGGATGTTGTGATTGTCCGTAGGTGTTAGACGGTCTCTGACTGTCGAACGCGGAGGTACCACCCGGCGGATCTCGTAGGCGGAGCCAGAATGTGTGCATGTTGCATGCACACGTGTTCCCTCGCCAGAGTCCGTGTGGCGTTCCCCCTTTCCCATGTATCCCCCTATAGCCCCACGGTACCCAATGGGTGCTTAGGCCTTCGTGGTAGTTGAAGTATAAACAAAAAAAAAAGTCTTCAACTTATATCCTCATATCTAGATGACGGATCACAGTATGTAGCACTGGCCAAAGAGAAGTCAAACATTCAGATGGTTAGGTTAGGGGTACCCCTGGGTTCCAGTTTAGGTCCCACTTTATTCATAAATTTCATTAATGACATCTTCAAATACAACACTCAACAACAAGTGCTATATGCTGATGACACTATGTCTATCCGCAGTGAAAGCCAACTTGAAGACTTTAGCCGAGAACATTAAATACATTGAAGACTGATTCAATGCAAACAGACTAGTCTTAAACAAAGACAAAACACAAACAATGAATTTCTCAGTATGATATCATGGTAACAATATCTATGTAAAATCTCTTGACTTCCATCTGGACAGTTGCTTGGACTGAGAAGAACATGTCAATAACCTGACCACCAAACTTAGTGAAAGTTGCATCACCTTTCGCAATCTAGTTAGTTGCGTGTCTCAAAATGTCGTTTTGCAAGCTTATTTCACTCCCATATGGTTTATGGAATATTATTGCGGCCACTCATCACATGAGTTTTGCAATACAAAGAAAATGCGTGAGGGTGATAGCCGGACTAGGTTACAGGGACTTCTGTGTTGATGCATTTAAACATGGGTTCTTTGACCCTAACGTGTATACATATATTTCGGAATGCCTTGTGTATGTCAGAGAAAATATTTGCAACTACAGTAGAAACTTCGATTTTCTTAGCCACCAAACCAGTTTTGGTAAAAATTTAGAAGTTCCATACAGCAATGTGCAGAGAGCCAAAGATGGCCATTACTACTATGGTATTAAATTTTACAATGTTTTACCAGAGGCAGTGAAGTCACTAAATACAGAACATTTTAAGAAGGCACTCATGTAATACTTAATTAGGAAAGCCTTTTATAATATATCCGATTTTATAGACAACAATTTTAGTGATGTTTTAATGTGTCTTGTGTTTGTTATCAATTTTTCTTTGCCCTCATATTTTATGTGTGTGTAAACACTATTGCATATACAACACCAATAAATATTATTATTAAACATATACATAATGTATACATTCAACTTGATTGAAATGAACAATGCTTTATAATATCCACTTAAAATGCCACATAATGCATTTATAGGCTGCTTATTGAATGCCACATAGAGCATTTCATCCACACAGTGCACACTTTGGAAGTGCCATAATAATTAGTCACACAGCATGTTTGTTACAAAGAATGGAGCAAGTCTCTCTCCATTTAAAAAATATGGGATTTATTTTCAATTTTTTGAAATGGAATGTCTTAACACCGAACAGTCCCCCATTTTGAAACACAGCAATTTTGTACTCTAAGGTTAAAAAATCCTCATAAGGTGACTCAGAATTAGCTATCACATGACCCTCCATCCACCATCTTGAATTTTTTGATTGTCACTATTACCTATTTTATAGTATTCACAAATCAATTTCATTCCCCAGAATTTCTGCCTGCTAAGTTGACCGGTTTTTGGAAAGCACTGCATATGCATAGTAAAAACAAAAAAACGATAAATGCTTGCTTGCAACACTGTTATTGTCAGTGTGTGTGAACAGCAAATATCTTGACAAGCGTAACAGGCTGTAATAAGAGTTGCTTTTGATATGAAGTTATTCAAACTATAGATCACATAAGATGTTTTTGGTGACTTCTTAGATAAAGTATTGTGTGATTACCAGGTTAAATTCACATTAATACGAGGATGAGTACCGAGTTAAAAAAATTATATTAGAAGATAGACTGTTAGCATGGACAATCAGATAACACATCAAAATCTAGACTGGAGGATATGAATGTCATGTCATCACTAATGTATATAACATACATTTATGATACAGTTCCAAAATATAAATCATCAAAGCATCAGTTCTAAGACATTGCCTTCCAAAACATGGTGTTTAATATGAACAGTGGTAGATGAACAGTTTTTAAAACATTTTGTCTGTCAAATAACATAAGATAAGGGACAGTTATGTTATCGCTAAAACCATATAGTGAAAACTACTTGTGACTAAAACCACATAGCAACAGCATTTGAACAATATATGATGTTGGACACAATCAAATGCTCTTGCAAATTCTTGGGAGCTATCTAGAGTAATCATGTTGTCTTCACGGAATTTGTTGATAAAACCAATAAAATCATTTATTGCTGCTTTAGTTGATCTGTTGACACAGTATCCAAACTGACTTCTACAGAATATGTTGTTAGACTCGAAATAGTCTCATATCTGATTTTTTTGAAATAATTCGCCATTATCGCAGCAATACATCTTTTGGAAACATCAAATGACTGATTTTCAAGCCCTCAAAAAGTGCTTGCAATGTTTGCATAACAAAGCTTCACATAAGTTCATTATTACTAATAAAACATCAATAGTGACAGAAAACAAAATATGCAATGTGCATCTGAGGGAAAAATATGTGATAAGTGTCAAGATATTGACTAACATGCCATACAATTAGAGTTTATTCCACTAAAAAGGTGAACACAATCAGAATGACGAAAGTTGTTGATCTAAACGAATTTGCAGATAATTTTCATGAATTGACAACTTACTTTTTTGATTCTTTATCACCAGTTTTTTGGCTGTTGTCGGTTTGATATTGTTGATATTCAGGTTTCTGTTAATGCCATTTTGTGGTATGTTGGAAAAGTTGGGCCTCCGGGCGCTATTTACTGCATTCTCACTCATCTTTGCAATTCTATTATTTGCTATAACAGTCTATAATGAATGATTATATCGTAGTTTTCTAGATTATTTAAGAACGTGTACAAGTTTGCTGCCTGACAGGAACAGCCATCGTCAATCTTCAGTAGCAAATTCACAGTTCAAAACATCTCAAATGATGTTAGGCACATCCATAACTCGTAAATATCACGATATAGAATTTAATCTTGATGCATACGTGCTCATTAACAGAAAGAAAATAATGTCAAAATCTAAAATCTCAACAAAACCGACAGCGATGTTCAGTTGTTCACAAATCCGCCGCTTTCATAGAGCGACATAAAACACAGAACACCTAAAATTGGCAGGTATGACATACGCCAACATTGACACAAAAAGAGCTATAGTATAAATAGGCGCGCTGTTCAAAATTCAAAGGTGGTATAGTTATGCGGTTATGCTTTGTGATCATGACCAATTTTGTAAGTTCAAACAAGAACAGAAACAATTAGATGTACCACTTTTACTGTGTTGCAGATAATGAAGTTGAAATTGGATACAAATACTAAGTACTATACATAAAATCAAAACATATTCTATCATTTTATTCTAAAAATGTATAACAGATCTTTTAATAGAAATCATCGAAGCAACTGTGAAGGAATTGTCCCGGGCTAAAAATATGCGATAAATGAAAATGAATCACCAAAAAATCCGATAAGTTTAACGGATTTGTAAGACGAATTTATAAGAACGGTTTCTTCGAATGTCATTCATCAAGGTTTGTTCGAGGAGATTGTTGTCCCTCCGTTCTGTAGCCTCAAGAGAAGCTGTGCAGATGAGTGGTTGACTTCCCCTCCTATCGCACAATATTCTTCAACTCAAGTATCAACGCTGGTGTTTTCCAGAGATCAGTTTTGCCCCAAACACCTTCAGACCTCCTTAGAATGGATCAATCAATCGCGAGCATTCACGCAGAGCTTTCTCGCCAGGCTCTACCGATGGGCTTCCTGGGCGAGCTTTCTTGTTTCTTTACAGCAGTCGCTTCAGTATTGCCATTGATTAACATATTACACGAGAAGTTACCAAATTAATTTGTTACTAACGCCTGCGGGAAAACGGAAAAATGTACCGTGGTACCGACAATCATTCAGGCTTATTACTATACAGAGTGCCTCGCGAAGAACTCCATCGATCGATTACTGGCAAAGTTGACATAAGGGATTATAGTATAACTGATTCGACTAAAATATTTTCAAAATAGTGGCACTTCCAGTTATACCGGCAGTTTTAAGATATTCTGCGAGTAATTCTGAACACATTTTATCTAACTGGTTATTAGATATGTCACACTTTACGTAAAGAACGGGCATTGAATTACCATACAATTGTTTATGTCTATCTTTTCCATACAATTTGTAACTGTTTTAGTATAGTTGGGAAATTACCTTTGTCGATTTTATTTTTGATTTGGATAACAAATAGCATAGTGTGGTCAAAAAACAGAATGAATATTATATCTTAGGAAAACAAAACAATCAATTTTTCCAACTAGAATCTATATTTTTTGCAATTTCATCGTTGTCGATTTATCGACGTTTCTATTATTGCTCAAATGCTCCGTACGGCTTTCACCATAAGATAATCTATATTGTTCATAACGGAAATCAAGCGATCTAAACTCTATTTATCGAGTATTCATCTCGTTTTGACGTCAAATGAGGAGAACATATGATCAACAGGTGACATATTTGTATTAGTCTGTAACGTTGGCAACGAATCGGGTGCAAATGAACTTCTCTAAATAAAGAGTTGATAGCACGTACAAAATGAATCTTTAGAGTGAAAAAAAATCGGAACAATATACGGCTCTGTCTACCTCCTTGACGGATCCGTTAGATTTATGTGTCATTTGTTGATATGGAGAATTTTGAAATATTACTAAATAATCATCTGTTATTCTAACGTTAATAGATTCTCGTGAAAAATACAATACTGATGATATCACGTTGTCATCGCGTCGTGCCGATCTTTCCTTGACAGGTTGTTGTCATGTCTAATAATAATCAATTTTATTTGAAAGAGGTTGGAACCTGTTTTTATTACTTCTAAATAAACTGCATGTGAATAACAAATACAGCATCGAGTTGGGCATCTTCTTGGAGAATACATCAATCAATGGAATTTAAAAAACCGCTGGTTTGCGCATAGGCCCATGGTAACGGTACGCAACACCTTTGGGAACAAACCTTCTATGTGCCAGTGAATAACACCGTTACCTGCGCGCATGCTCTTGAATGCCACTCCTTTGTTGCGTTGCTATGTCGCTACGCTAGCGCTAGTGTAGTAGGTTTTTTGTATGTTTCCTTTCAAGATTTTATTTTTTAGTATTCCGAAATTGTGTTCTTGCAGTTTTTCTATGGAACTTTCTATCAATCCGAATTAATCCAACGGTGAAATGCTAGTTGATTCAAGCAATTGCGTTAAAACCACCGCCTAAGTTGCCTAATCGTGATCGGGTTAGTCATTGACAGTGAATCAAGTCCTTTGTGCCGATTTTCTAGGGAATGCAAGTGCATGTTTGAGATTATATACCTTCATAAGGAATGAAGCAGAAATGTTTATAACATTATAAACATGATGATGTATCAAACAAGTAACCACCAACATCTCTGGACCGGTAGATGGGCTTTAAAAATGTAAACATATAGAAAACTTTTGAGGTTGTTGCTCCTAAGTTTACTATTTTTTCCATTCATTCCTGAGAGAAACTGTTAAAATGACTTGGTGGCAAGCCCTATTGTTTTTATCCATACAACTTGCTACTATTTTAGCACAAACAACGTTAGTTTATAAAGGTAAGTTTTTCCTATGCATCATTTTTAGTACCTCTCAACCATGCTTCAAGTACTTCAGCTTATGGCGTGAAAAGTATAAGTAATATAAAAATTATGATTTTAAGTATGTAATGTTGATAGTATACTAAAGTTAAATATCCAAAACTATGAAATTCATTTTTTTTAATTTTTGAACATTCTATTAATAAGTGCATATAGTTTGAAAATGGTGTATTAAATACAAATAGATATATTTTGTACATATACATTTTATTTTGGTGAAATTTAGTTCTTTTTCTATATAAGCTAAGATTTATATTCATAATTTATTTTATTTCTTTTTAATATGAGAATATTATCATTGATAGTTTAGCTAAGGATACATTTGCCATACACATGATGTAGGTCCATATTATGACTCATTGAATCACTCATTATGAAAGCTGGTTTTTCTACTGATTTTAGTGCATGTATCATATTGTACAGTCATACATATATCACAATAAAATTTGTCATAAAAAGTGCAAACACTATTAGGAAAATGTTTTAATTTCATTTACATCAAAATAGTTAATAATAGTGACAACTATGAACATGCAGTATTAACTTATAGGCCTATTTTCATCTAGTTTTCCTGAGAGCTTGCTTACCAAGTATTCCCATCAAGCTTTGAAAAAAATCAATGATTCCAAATTCTATCTCAGGAAAATTGACATGTTTTGACCTCGAATAATAATGTAAAATATCTACATGAACCCAATATTAGAGAATCACTTAAAGTCAGATGACAGAGTGAGCTATGCATGTACGTTAATTCCTAAAAGGCATCTTAACATACATAATGATTAACATGATAGGCATATACACAGGTAGCTCCAAGTGTCTTGCATACAAATGATGGGGGATGTATACAAATTTTCTCATAGGAAATTATCTGTTCACATGACCATGAGGTAAATTTGGGAATTGGGATATAAATTTCACATGGATTTTATGTATATTTACAAATATCTGAGATAACACATTTATGTCAATATACCACACTTTCAAGTAAATACTGCAAATACCTGATATACAAATGATACTGAATGTCCCACTGATCCATTGTCAGATAAAGATAACAGATAGCTGTTTATTATACAGGGGCTAAGAAAAACTAATTGGATGTAATTATCCAATTATTGACCCATTCTTCAAATTCCATCCACAAATTAAATCAGTAGATAAAATATGAATATCTTTAATATAGTGTGTCCGAAAATAGGGATAAAATAACATTGAGAATGAGAAATTCTAGCCAGTTTAAGTAACCTCAAATTTGATTCAATTGTGTTGAATAGAAATTTATGATGAGATAGTAATATTCCTAATGTTTTGAGTTCACCTTTCCTTCTTAAGCTATGGGCAACAGAAGTTTGAATTTTTGGACTAGTTTGAATGAGCTATGAACACTAATATTTACTCTAATATCAAACTATGGCAATTCAGCAAGATGTGTAGAATTCAGATAAAACCACTATCCAATTGATTTAAAACCAAAAATAATCTAAAAACCGTTGAAAAACTCCAACTTTAACCACTGGTATGTTTAGGGCTCAATTTGACATTTTGTGAATATTGAAGTTTCATCATAAACTGCCACTCAACATTCATTTTGGGGATCAATCACTGTTACTTCCTACGCCAACTGTTATAATCGCGAAAAGTTGAGATATTATGTTTTTTGGATGTTATATGACATGTATATACATCACGAAAAATCAAGTCACTCATTTCCATTGGTCTGTACGCTATTCTTACAACCACCTATAACTTGAGAAATACAGCTCGGATTTTGATGAAATTTTCGCACAAGGTTACTACTGTGCCAAGGATAAAAACACTGTAGTTTTTAGAGGCTCCTGATCATTCTCTGAACCCTTTTTGTAAGGATTGAAACTTGGGGGTTGTAGGGGGTAGGGGGTTGTGAATATTACATCGTTTGTATTAGTCAAAGGTGTCATCACTGACAGAATATTTATATATTCTAACAGTATTTGGATATTAGTAGTAGTACATACCACTTTAGCATTCTGCAAATTGGTTTATAAATAATTAAACTGTTTTTATGTCTACACATATATTTTTCTGAATTCTATGATCTTTAAATGTACCACCCATTCTGCCTAACCTTTAATCTATGTTACTCTTTCTATAATATTTTGTCAAGTACATTGACTCAGCACTTTAGACGCGTTGATATACAACAGGTACAGACTGACATAAATGAGATGCACATGTAACAGAAAACTTGTGAAGTTCGAATATTATTGTGAGTTTAATACTTTGCATTGTTTGCTGGAAGTGTTACAACATTTCAGAGATTCATTTTCAGACATTGTTTGGAGGGGATAAAAATTGTAGATTGGAAGCTGTATGTGGAAAATGGAATTGTTCCATATTTGGTGTCAGTTTATTGTTAAGAAGCTGCTGATCTCGGTGATACTATGCACCTGTTAGTCACACATATTTTCCGTACATCTGCCATGGAAACAGAAACATGATAGAAGAGCTTTATATAGTTTGATTTGCAGAGGTCGAAGATTCATTGTACATTGACTAAATATATTCAATCTACTTGACGCCATTTTTGTTCGCAAAAATGTAATAATTTTGAATGAAAATTCATTCAAGTTCGAGCTCATCGCTTGGCGTGAGGATTTTAATGGACGGAATGGATTGCATGAAGACAACAAGAAATTCAGTCCAATACGGTCCGATTTCGTCGCGAGGCCTGCTACGTGGTAACATGTTACGAAGCCCACAAGTGACCCAACTATTAGTAGTCTATATACTATGCTAGAAACATTTCTCACTTGTTATTACTCATGCCTTGGATACAAATATAAACATGTTTCCTATTATCTCTTCAGAAATGTTAATTGCCGCAATATAAACGATACGATGATTGATTGGCCGTTCGTTTCGAGAAGTGCAGCTTCATAGCTAGTTTTTATTTCTGCTTATGTTAAGTATACAGGGTGTTTCCAAAACATGGGCAACCTTTTTAAGGAGTGGTTCTTCGAGCTATTTTAACTTGGTCCTCTGACTACTTTCAAAATACTGCTCCGTTTCGGAGATACAGGCCTATTCTAATCGGTTTTTACTTCGCGCGCCACTGGCGAGGGAGTATTGTAAAATATTAGACATACAATTGCCCTTAACACTTACGAGCAGAACCTACTTGATGCCATTTTTCTCAAATAGCTATTGAACAAGGCTATATAATTAAATGAATTTTTGACAGCATAGTGAATAATTGAGGCCTTACATGAGGATTTTCAAAGAAAACATTCAACTCATTTAGATTCCCCTGGAGGGTTAGCTCTAATGCAATATTGGTAAACCTTCATACATGTTGTATACTAAACATAAAATAAACATGTTTGAAATATCTGACCCTTTGTCTGGAAAAAATGTATTCTTGTTTGATTCTGATAAAATGGACCATTTTTGAGAAAAGTAGTTTCTACAGTGCTTCTATCAATTTAAACCGCAGGATCTCTCTAAAAAAGTGGAAATAAACCTGAAAATTTGTAAAGTGATCTGGAAATTTATATACTGGTTTTTCACTGGTCACGATCAGCTATCAAAATGGTGCAACCATCATATAGGAATCAATGAAACAGTATTGAAGCAAGACTGTTTTTCTCAAGAACTGATCATTTCATAAACAGTGGTTGTATTCTTGGCGCCATTAACGATTATATATACTGTTCATTAAATGTGGAATTTATAAATTCTATGAAAAATGTATCGTTTTCTATAAACATATTCATTATCATATCACGACAGAAGCATTATATTGAAGATATGAATATAAATTGTATAGTTCAAATGCTTGGAGAAGTTGAGCTGGCAAAATATGAGTCATTTGTTTCTAATCCTAATTGAAACAGATTAAGAACAAGTATGAAAAATTCGCATCGAATATTGAAAATTTTGGCGTCAGTCCTGTTATTAAAAAGCGTACCCGAAAACTGGCGGGCTATTTGAGTCAATATAACTTTGACAACATCTGGAACCACCTGCAGTCGAGTGCCCTTAGGTATAAACCTTGGAACCCGGGCTCACTGAATGGATTTTTAAATATTTTAGTGAAATCCATTTAAAATACTATATATTGAGATTGTGTTCATTTTTTCTAATATGTATTGATATTTTTACTTTCTTCTAAATTACCTTAGTATGTGATTACTAATACAGATAAAGTCCCTTAGTGTGTTTTTTTATTGTACAGTTTAATGATAGCGATTAGCTGGTAGAAATAGTAATGGCGTTTTTTACAAAATTTCACAAAATTGCAAATATCTCCGGATTACGGGTTCAATCGATAGATATTGAGTCCCTTTATCATCTGACTTCTATTGATCCACCCATAAACTTACACCCTGTACATACTTGTATACTTTACACACGCATTTAATTCTCATCATTGGTACTTGGGTATAATCTGAATAATTGATATTTCCTGTTGCCGTATTGGAACATTCATGACTCCATTTTGTTATCGGAAATTACATGTCAGCAATGCATAGACGAATTATTTGTCGGGATAATCTCGTATAACGAGCAATTTTCTGGTGACAGATCACATATCACTTATATGGTTTCAACAGATGCTGGAAACATGCGTTAATGTACGGAACATACTTGAAATATCTCTCTTGGAACATATTAGAGTCAGCGTAATTGAGTTTAATCCACACGCGAAGTGTTGTAATTGCAAAAAATTCCGAAAATGACAAGTACATCATAAAAAACTATAATCGTGTCTCTCTATAACTCGGAAAGGACCACTCTGGTTTTGATGAAATTTTGACAAAAGGGTACTACTATACGAGGAAGGACGAAAAAGCTTTGTAGGTTTTAAACATCGACCCAGTGGCGGCAGAGTTACGGGCAAAATGAGATGTTTTTTGGATGTTATATGATATGTACATCAAGAAAAACCTTGCCACCTATTTCTGTCTGTTTTCGGTCTGCCTATTCGCTAATCCTTGGACCGCCTATAACTTGGAAAGTACTGCTTTGGATGAACATTTCACACAAGGTCACTGCTAGGCTAAGGACGATTTGTAGAATTTGAAAATCGGTCCAGTGGCGGCGGAGAAAAGAGTCAAAAACGATAAAAAAATTGAATCGCTCAATTTTTTTTGACGTTTCATATATATATATATATGAGCGCTATGCTTGGAGTGTAATTTAACGAGTTTACTTAATTTCTTGTGGCAGTATTATATAGTATATTATGTATCAAGAGCTATTAGAATCAGATATCGAACAGTATTACACCAGAGCTCCAAAGAAATGAGGCTGCCGGTTGAGGATTTTTTTCATGAAAAGCCCAAATAGTGATCTAATGGTTCTCGCAAAACCTACCTCTTTTTAATTTCATTGCACTACATGCAAAATTAAAGTAGAAGGCGTGGAAAGTACAGAGTCAATCTACTTGACATCTTTGGCGTCAGCGAATGACATTCACTTATCAATATCTCTGATCTCCGTGATATTACACACAAGCATGTTAGACGGTAGTCACACATATTTTCCATACATTTTCCGGTAAAACAAATATAATTTATTTTAGTATTTATAAATATGCTGAAGGTGCAAGCAAAACTTCGTCCTGAAATAATTTTTACATGGCTGAACATACCCAATCAAGTTTCGATTTCATTTAAATCTGTTCAATATACTTGACCCACTTTTTTATACATGTGTGTAGTTAACTTTTTTTTCTACTACATATAACTTCGGGTTATATAAACAAAAATAAAAAGATCGTAAAATTTATATTTAGTCTTTGAGAGGTTGACTCTGCATCTCACATGGTCGTTTTTTTTTCTGTAAAAGTTGTAGTTCATGTGGCGTTACGTTTGGAGATTGACCGAACATAATCTAATTGTTGACAGAATTACGTGGAACTTCTGAATAAACTACTTGATGGCTTTTTATTAATTGCAGGTGTTGACGATAATTCTGTAGACAACTATTCTGGATTTTTCATAAAAGGTAAAAGCCAAAAATATACAGATTCAAATCGAAAGCCTGTTTTCACTGATTGTGGAAACTACAAACCTGTTGTCAAGGAAGAAAAGGCCGCCGGAACATACGTTATAACGGTATATATATACGCCTTTATTATTCGTATAGAAAAATTGTATTCTGATACCATTGATTAACATATTGCACCAAAAGATATCCAATCTGATTATTGATCACCGTCTTTAGGTATCAGCTTTGCCAACTTTCTGACTGTTGCTGTAGGCTATGAGATTTCTCTTTTCTATGAATCTTTTTTCAATATTTCTAAGAAAACTACTGTGAACCTATTTCGCAGCATGGGTGTGACGATGGAAATTGTATGCGAACGTCCAAATATAGCGTAGAGCTGGACATCTTCTTGGTGAATGCGTTGATAAATGGTATTGTTTAATGTCATATTTTTTTCAAAATGTGATTTTTTAGGTACATGCTGATGACAAAGATCCTAAAAACGCTGGTGGTACTGTCACGTACAAAATAATAAAACGAGAAGGTGAAAGGCCTCAATTCAATATCGATACCAATACGGGAGATATCACGACTGCCATATCTTTCGATAGAGATGAGCCTATTAGACAGAAAGAACTGTACATTACTGTGACTGCTACTGACAATGGTAATCCTCCACTAGCTGATATCTGCTCGTTCAAAGTTACTGTCACAGATATAAATGACAACTCCCCAAGCTTTGACCAAGTGGTAAGTGATTTTGGAGTTTTTTGAACGCCACACGTATTTTAGAAAACTTCGACATTATTCTAAGTGCCTAGATGACGCGCTTATACGCATCTCTTAATGCCCTACGCGCAAGCAAAGTATTGTTTTTTAAGTCACTTATTCAAAATTCATACTATTTCTAATTCTAATTGAAACAAAGAAACAGGGTCCACAAAACAGTTGTGGAATCACATACGAGATTTGTCCGGAAAATACGTCTAAAAAATTCGAGGCGTCGTGTCAAGGCGTTGTGGAGGGGTGGCCTGTTGGTTCCCTCTCTCTAAGCAATCCCCTCTATGATCAGTTCAATCCGGAGCGCTCTGCGAGTAAGAAGGATTGACGTGTGCTTGTTGAAAGTAACCCTTTTTATCTGCCGTCGCCATGAAGCTCTCTCTGGTCGAGTAACAGCGCATCATCAAGTTTCTTGCAAAGCTAGGCAAGAATAGTCATGAGATTTTTGAGTGCCTGGAACAAGTTTACGAAGACAATTCTCTGAAGGAACCAACCGTCAACAAGTGGACGCCCCTCCACATCGAGCTCTGAGAGAAACGTTGAACGAATTCGGGGCTGTGTTCTTAAAGACTGTCGATTGACAGAATGATAGCTGAGGAACTGTCAATAAACCACAACAATCGTCCACAAAAATCTGACAAAAATTTGAAGTGAAAAAATTGTGCGCGAAAATCGTTCCGTAGCTCTTGACTCCAGAACAGAAAGCGAGGAGGGTTGGTAAGCCAGTGAAAAAATTTTTGGTGTTAAAATTAGGAATAGAAAACACTTGATTTCTTGTAGAAAATCTATTTTGAAACGTCTTTCAACCGCTGTTCGTACTGACCGATTTTTAAAGAATTGATATGCATTTTCAGGCGTACGATACTCAAGTATCCGAAGATCTAAAGCCCAAGAGTGAAGTAATGAGAGTTTTTGCTTATGATTTGGACGATGGAGAAAATTCTCGATTGTCATATAATTTCTCAGAGACGAACAATGCTTTTTCCAAGTATTTTAGAATTGACAGAGACACTGGCGTCATCTATCTAGAGCAACCATTGACAGGGGTAAGTGTAATTTTAAGGCACTAATATTTATTAAGCTATGCAAATTTCTGCCTGAGCATCAATTCTACAGAATTGATGAATATCTGTCACTGCCATTATGATTTTAACGTGTTGTGATGTGAATGTGCCTTGATTAATGTATGTATATATTTTTAATGTATATGTTGTTGTTCGTTGAAGATGACATCTACTCTTTGACTACTCTGAATTTGTAGATTATATAGTTGACTTATTCCTATACTTGTTAGTCAGGTCTGATGGAAGATTGATGATAAATAAACTTACCTTCCATGCCACTGACGAGGAAGTATTGTAATCGCGGATTATTTTGAAAATGAGATACGAGGGTTGTTTGTAAAATAAGGTTCCCACATTTTTTTAGGCACAAGGAATTTTTATTTGAAAAAACGTGTTCACCATTGGAAACGTTTATCTTTAACCTATTTTTTTCCATAGACGCCGATTTTTTCTATGCATTTTTTTAGACGTGAAATCCACTTTTGCATTCCCGCCTCAAAGAAGTCCGCCGCCAAACCGTTTAGAAACTTGGTTGCTGCTCATTTCCGTCTCGAACCGTTGACCTCCTAGGTACTGCGTCAATTTCGTAAACGCTATTTCAAGTCCGTAATGGGGATGGGCAATGACTTCCCAGCCGAGTCGCTGGATTAAGTCCATCGTTTTTTGTGAGACATGAGGATGTGCCTTGTTGTGGTGTAGTCTTACGCTTTAGTGAGTTTTCCCTTACTACGATTTTGGATTGCCCATCTGAGCTTTCAAGAATTCCAACCGATCGGATGACAGCACGAATTTGACATCTGGCGGTGACGGCGATAAAGGGCTCCATTGCGCATGGGTATCGGGCGGATACCGAGCATCACAAAATAGGCGCTTCATGTTGGGATCGGTAGTAAGGGAGCCGACAAACACGACGGTGTTGCCAGACTTCGCCTAACATCACGCGCGGCAAAGATACAGCGTTGGGAACCTCATTTTTAAGACAACCCTCGTTTTTTGTTTTTACATAACATGCATGTACGTTATGTCACACATTTTAGTATAGTAAATTTTTACTGAAAATTTTTGTAGAAAAGAGATACAAAATTCACAAATGCAGTGAATGTATATGACAATGGTGTGGCTGACGAGATGGGTCAGAGATGGTCTAGGGCCAACATTTCAATAACAGTAGTTAGTGAAGATAGGCAACCACCTAGGTTTATAGGGAGAGAACCACAAGGCGATTTGAGGCTAAAAGAAAATTTCAATGATTTCCAAAAGAAATTAGTTGTTATTGAAGCTGAGTAAGTCATGTCATTCTTTATATTATATAACATCATTTGGAACGACACGCCTCGTCGATTGCAGCTGGTACTGAACATATTCTATTCTAAACAAAGCCCAGATAAGATCCAGCTTGTAGGTAAGGGGAATCCTTGAAGATGTGTTTTGCTTTCAAGCTGGGTTGCCATATGTGTTCAAATCAAAATCGATTAAATTTTGTAGAAAATACGTAAAAGTGAATAAATAAATATTGCTGACGCAATCAACATCGATTACCCCCTCCACCCTCCATGTCATCAAAAATAAGCATAACTAATACCCCCGGCACCGTCTAGTGCTTACGTGGTATTTGAATGATCCCAAATGTTGGCTATCGGTGTGGATAACGTGCTTCATTTTGATGTTCCAATTTTCAGTGATCCTCCTTGTATTTCACACGATCTATGCGGCGAATTTATCGGTCCGAAAACAAAAAAGAACCTGACACAAAACATATGGAAAATGAGTCCCAGTCGATTTATCTGAACATTCAGTATGATATATGTCTTTCCTTCTCGAACAAAAGTGTCCCTGGGACCAAAGCAATCATATGAGTAGTTTCTGAGAAATAGGCGGATAAAGTTTGCGTGATTTGCAAAAACTCGGAGAATCCGTATATTAAAATAACGTTAAAACACCTTATAGAAAGGTGTTGGGAGCTGTCATGTTGATCGTGACCATAATCCCTACAACGCCAGTTTCAGGGCAAGTTCAATTTTATGTCTTTGCTAGAATAGATTTTTCACGAGTTGCTCGAGAATTCAGCAAACTTAAAGGGTAGGTAACTTTTAATGCATTTGGAAGTCTGCAAAGATTATAGATTGAACGCGAAGCTTACGTTTTCCTCAACAAAATATTTACAGTGCAAAAAATGATAATCGGATCCAGATACAAAGGATTCGTTTTGTACGGTTTACCAATAGTCCATAATAATAATAAATAATCTTTATTGATGTTGGGCATGCAAGTGCACTCCATACGTCAAAAAAAAAGTTCACCATGCACAAGAAAGTACACACTAAGCAATAATAGAACATTGCTTAATAATAGTCTGCTTGCGATTAAGTTCCATCCCACAACCTATGGTCAGCACTCTCCACTCCATAGAGCATTTCGTGTTATCAATTTAACTAGGTCTAGTATTGACATTTTTACCTGTACACTCTCAGGCTTTAAAAATTATCTTTTGAATTGTTATTTTTATAATTATATCTTGTGAGCCTGCATGTTGAAAATGTTGTTTCCATTTCGTGATTTTATTTTATAAAAATGGGGTCACCCGTAAATTTGGTAAATATCTATCTATATCTAATAGTGGTCTATCTGAAAAAGTTAAGTTATATACTGATATTATCTAGACTAAACTGAGACGTATATGATGATGGTAGTTTAAACAAAATTTTGTTTGCTATTTCGACGAAATGGGAGTTGAAATCCTTTACTGATATGTGTTGTGAATAGTTATGAGATTGCAATTTTGTGTCATTCTTAATCACATCCCAAATAGCTTTTTGTTTATTAGCAGACGCCTTTATGTATGAATTATTAGCATCCTTTTTAGCTTTCTATATTACACCTCGATAGACATTTCTAAATTTCTGAAGATCATGGTTGGATACAACCTTGAGATTTATTTTATCCAGCCTCGTCAGAAAGTGTAAATAATCTCCATACGCCAATAAGTCATTTTTTACAATATAATCCCATGGGGTACCGTGGGGCTATAGGGGGATACAGGGGAAAGGGCCCCGCCTACGAGATCCTCCGGGTGGTACCTCTGCGTTTGACAGTTAGAGACCGTCTACCACCTACGGACAATCACAACATCCATAGCCAAGAGAAAAATTTCTCTTGGGACGAGATTCGAACCCGTCTGTGTAGAATATGATCATCAAAAAACATCAAGTCCCGTAATGCCGAATTTTAGATACAAAATAAGTTGCGTGTTCAGTTTCTTCCCAGTAGCTGCTGCAATTGACCAGACGTATTCATAGTTTAGAAAAATTCTTTTTTGTACGATGAAATTTCTTTTAGATCGAATATTGATGACAAAGGTGTATTGTTTGAGCTAATGAAAGGAAAAACTGCTCAAACGAACAAAGATCAAACATTTTTACTATTCCCTGATGGCAATAACACTGCTTACATAACCCTAGTCCGTAGTTTGGACTACGAAACGGTTCCCGAATATACCTTGACTGTACGAATCAAAAACAAAAAGTTCATGGAAGCCACCATGAATATTCCCGTTAAAATCGAAGATGTAAACGATGAAGTGCCAACGTTCTTAGAACTACTTAGAGGCTCAGTGGTAGAAAACGATGTTAAAGGTGTACAAGCCATGCAAGTTCGTGCTGTAGATAAGGATGGTACTGCTGCAAACAATATAGTCAGCTATGAGTTAGAAGATAACCAAGACATATTCGAAATTGATAGAACAACTGGTATTATAACCACTAAAGTTAGTTTTGACAGTGAGGCTACGTCACTATATCACGTAAAAGTGAAAGCTTACGATAATTCACCTTCAGCTTTGAACCCAAATTCCAATGAGCCAAATAAAAATGTTCAAACATTCCAAATCAGTATTGAGGATCAAAATGATAATAGACCCAAATTTACGAACCCAGTTTACCAGTTCATCAATATATCTGAAAGTGCTGATCAGTCCAACATTGTGGGAGAAGTAAAAGCTTTGGACAATGATACGGCATCTCTCATAACCTACAGTATTATAGCTGGTAACGAAGGTAACGCATTCTATATGGAAAATACTACAGGGAGGATCAAAGTCAATGCCAAACTGGACTTTGAACAGATTGAGCAGTATACTTTGACTGTCAGGGCTTTTGATGGGATTTACGAGGATGAGGCAAAGGTTATCATCTCTATTTTGAACGAAAATGACGAACCGCCAGTATTCCATCCATACAAGAAAGTTATACAGCTTGAGGAAGAAACTTTAGTAGAGGATTGTATTGTAACTGTAACAGCATATGATCCTGATATCAAAAATAGGTGAGTGTTATTTTAGTTTTCACTACATTAAACCACCGACGCTATATTAGTTGTTGAGTTATACCATAAGCAACTCCATGTACAAAAACGCTCGACTTTGACAGCCTGCGAGATCGCCATGTTGACAGGTACTGATTTGATATTCTCATTTCATTAAAAAAAATGTTTCAAATTGGCATCCATTCGATTTCAGCTTTCTCACTTGACTAGTTTAAACAATAAGGGATATTTTTGAAAAGCAGTGTATGATTGATGTTTTTGTTCAATAGGTCTGCAGATCAACACATCGTTTACGAAGTAGGGGACAAGAAAGATTTTTTAACAGTTTCAAGAGATGGTTGCGTGTCATTGACAAAACCTTTAGATAGGGACAAGCCAAATGGCACACCAACAAGACAAGTTTTCATCTATGCTTTAGACAATGATGGAGGAACTAACTCTCTAAGAAACTACGCAGAATTTACAATAAATCTCACAGATATAAATGACAACGCACCCTTCTTGAATGTTACCGAAATCGTTTGGGATGAAAATCAACCTCCTGGTCTAATAACTAGACTGAGTGCTGATGACTATGATAGCCCCGAAAACGGACCACCGTTTACTTTTAGATTAGCAGATAGAGTATCATCTGATATCCAAAGTAAATTCAGTATCAGTGATGATGAGCTACATGCTTTGGTCACTTTCGACAGAGAGGAACAGAAACAGTACAGGATCCCTATTACAATCACTGATAGCGGAATTCCGTCACAACAAGCTACGAGCATCTTGACTGTGATCATAGGGGATGTGAATGACAATAAGGCTGAAGATGGAGAAAGTAGCATCTTTGTCTACAAATACGCTAAAGGTCCAGATACGGAAATCGAAGTAGGTAGAGTTTACGTCAAGGATAAGGATGACTGGGACTTAGGCGATAAAATGTTTATACAAGAAAATCACAAAGATGAGTTTACTCTACATGACAGCAATAGAGGGATGATATACATGCTGCCAACCACAATGAATGGTACATATGTGTTGAATTTTGAGGTGACGGAAAGTCATCTGCCAGAGATCGAAACTCATACTGTAGCAGCCGTCGTCACGATTACTGTAAAGGAAATACCTGAAGAGGCTGTTATCAAGTCTGGTTCAGTCAGGTTACGGGGCATCACAAAAGAAGACTTCATAGCAGAACAGGTATGGTTTATTAATATTAAGGGCAGGCTGCCCAGGTAACTGGCAACCCAAGATTTCTAATAAGACTAACGGAGTTATTCCATCATCTAATTCAATTAACATACTTGATTGTCGACGGTCGTGTCACGTTGATTCTTTGTGCAGGGCCCTAAACGTTTAGAAGCTATGTGATAATTTACAGGTACTTAATGATAGGCCGTAATTACAAGGTCGGATTTCTGAAGACAAGTTTAGGTAGAAAATTTGTTGTATCTGAATAAGCATGAATTTCAGTGTACAGGGTGTCAAAGTTTTGTAAAAACTTCAAAGGTCCTTGAAAAGATTTTGTTGAATTTTGACAGTCTGTTCGTTATTGCAATAAGAGGCAGAGTTAGCGGTAACTGGAAGATAATTATGAATTCCAGTGGCACCTCGCGGTGCGGTCTCAAGTATAACATTGACAAAAAAATATACGCCACTGACTTTTTAAAACATTGTTTTTATTTTCGGATTAAGCAGACATTGATACAGTTGGTATCGCTACGTATCCTGCTTCATTTTTGAGGAAGAAAATAAAAACAAATTAATTATGTGTCGAAAAATTGTTAAAATATCAGAGCAGAATCCTGCATAAATATTTTGTTAAATCTGTTACTTTCCGTTCTTTACATTTCAAAAAGGACTTATAAATGAAGATTTTGCATCATTTAAATTGAATTGAGTTTATTTTAACAAGTTAATGTCATGTTAAGTGGCAGAGTAGCATTATGCTAAACTTCGCCCCCTAAATAAATGAAGACGATTTATTATTATTATATAGCGGTGTCGTTTTTATTTTTTCCTCAAAAAACGAAGTGAGATGCGAAGGGATCCCAAGAGACAAGAAAGTTGTATCCTCTTCTTAATACGAAAAAAGTATATATAGGGTTATCCAATAGGGATGCAGGAAAGTAAACGTCAATTTGACATAGACGCCATCTTTGTTTTCTGTCACCGACATGTCATTTTGTTAGTTGAATGTTTACCATTGATCGCTATGGAGTCGTATTCGATTGAAGACCGCATTAAAGTTATTCAAGAGCACTACAAAAATGGTGCAAAAATAAAAAACACGTTTCGCGCGCTTCGTGAACATTTCGGTCGCAACAACCGCCCAAACGAAACAACCATCGGTCGTGTGGTGCGTAAATTCGTGGCAACAGGTTCTGTGGCAAATCTGCCAGGCTCTGGCCGGCCAAGGAGCGTTCGCACACCGGAAAATATTGCTGTTGTGAAGGAGAGTGTGAGAGACGATCCGAAACAATCAACAACGCGTCGATCCCAAGAATTGGGCATTTCGAGAACCAGTTTGCTCCGCATTCTCCACAAGGATTTGAATGTACACGCCTACAAGATCCAATTGACGGAAGAGCTGCGTCGGGCCGACCATTTTTCGCGCCGAACGTTCTCAGATTGGCTCCTTGAACACCGCCAAATTGATGCCAATTTTTCATCAAAAATCATGTTCAGCGACGAAGCGCATTTCACTTTGAATGGGACGGTAAACAAGCAAAACTGCCGCATCTGGGCGAACGAAAATCCCCGTGAGTATCAAGAGCAGCCGATGCATCCTCAAAAAGTGACTGTGTAGTGTGCATTGTGGTCAAAAGGCATCATCAGACCTTACTTTTTCGAAAATGCGGCCGGGGACGCCGTTACCGTCAATTCTGAGCGATATCACGTGATGATAGAGGACTATTTTTTGCCGCAACTTGAAGGAATGGATATGGACGGTGTTTATTTCCAACATGACGGTGCAACATGCCGCACAACCAACGTCAATATCCATCGATTGCAGTCCTTCTTCGGTGATCGCGTGATTTCGCGCAGAGGAAATGTGCCATGGCCACCAAGATCGTGCGATTTGACTCCCTTGGACTTCTTTTTATGGGGATATTTGAAAAGCAAAGTCTACGTCAATAAACCAGCCACCCTAGAAGAACTCAAAAACAACATCATTGCCGAGATAAATGCCATAGAACCGACCATGTTGCAAAATGTCATTGAAAATTTCGACCATCGCGTGGACGTCTGTAAATCCAGTCGTGGTGAACATTTCAGCGATATTATTTTTCATACATAAATGGTATAAATGAACCTTCAAAATAAAGTACCCAACTTGATTTGAATATCAATCTTTCTTGTTTTAATATGCGTTTACTTTCCTGCGTCTGTTTTGGACAACCCCATATTCAAGTCAGTGGTGTAATTTTTTTTCAGTGATTCATTTTCCTTTTTTCAAGGTTTCAAGGGTTAAATATTTCTAATTCTAATAGAAATAGACAGACTAGATAGGGTAATCAATAGATGGTACATAAAATCTGCTGAATCGCACCTCCTAGGCTTTGAAAACAACTACCTTCTAGTAAATTAAAGAAATACTGAGTCTCATCAATATAAAGTGTGAAGACAATGATTTATTTTTGCTGTTTCAATTAGAAATAAAACTATTTGTGTTTCCAGGGTGGCCCAAGTAAGAAGGACATTTTACAAAGACACTTGTCTAAGATCGTGAACACTTCTTTAGAGAACGTAGATGTATTTACAGTAATGACGTCTCCAAACATGACCAATGATTTTGTAGATGTTAGATTTTCGGCACACGGCTCTCCTTATTATGCGCCTGAAAATCTTGAAAACAAACTTACAGAACATAGAGCTAAGGTAAGAATTGTCACCCTTCATCTATAGTATCTTCTAGTTTGGGTTGTCGTTGAATACCTATATTTTTTTAGTTGGAAAGAGAGCTTGGTGTAGAATTTTTTATGATAAACATCAACGAATGCTTGAACGAAACAATATGCGGCAGCTTTTGTACCTGCACAAGCTTTTTGAACATATCAAGGGAACCAGCTGTGGTCTTTACGAATCGTACTTCCTTTGTGGGAGTACACGCGTACGAAGAACCGATTTGCGAGGCAATACCACCTCGTAACGCAGACTGCCTTAACGGAGGAGTATTCAGAGACTATACTTGCATTTGCCCACCGGGCTTTGACGGGCCTAGATGCGAGATATTGGGCATTGGCTTTGCTGGGAACGGCTGGGCCACATATCCTACACTTGATATATCTAACAAGACTGAAATTGTGATGTTTATTACACCCCAGACTGATGACGGATTAGTATTTTATGCTGGACCGTCTACTATTAGAGATGCTTCACTTTCAAAAGGTATGTTACTGTACCGTCTAAATTAACTTTGAATATAAAAACTTATTACATTGCCTTCTCTATAACCATGGCTAATAGACCAGCATTTAATCAAACTAAGGTTGATAATATATGTTAGATGAGCCTTTGAAAGAAGTAAATGAAATTAAATATTTGGGGGTTGTCGATAAGCACTTGAAGTGGGACCGGCATTTGCTGTATTTGAGCAAAAAAATAAGATTTTTCATCCATAAATTCTACACTCTTCGTAACATACTGAACATTAAACTAATATTGATGATTTACAAAGCACTTGTGGTGCCCCTTTTGGTATATGGCATAATTGTGTGGGGTGGGATGTACGGTTCAAATCTTGGGCAGAACGATATTGTAAGGATTATTATAAAAAAAACCTAGACTATATCCCACTATGCAGCTTTATTCTCAAGCAATGAACAATATTAAAATCTTATATATATACATGCAAATAAGAAATTGAATACAAATTATGTGTCCCACAATTATATGACCCGAGCAAACACCACTCATAACCTGAACGCCCCGCAGTCCAAGCGAGATTTAAATTTGCGTTTCGTGACATATCTTGCACCTAAATTTTACAATTTGATTCCTGCTAATATTAGGAATAATGGAAATAATAAAAAACTGTTCTCTTGGGAAAATCGTGAACAATTTATGCGTTTATTTTAAGTTGCTTTGAGGTAGAATGATCTGCCTATTTGTTTCTTTTCTTTTTTTTTGATATAATTGTGATACGTTTTTTTTTTTCTGTGATCAGTCAAATATATGACTTACAAAAAACATAGGATTTTCTTTCATTTTGTCTATGCTGTGTTTCATGTTTTGTTGGGATTGTTGAGTAATTTTATACAATAATATATATTGTAGGATATTTATTAATTAATTACTGTATTGGATTGTTTTGCGTATACAGGTTTTTAAACTTAGGCGTTTATATGGAGAAACCTTGCTTTTATTTTCTTAATATATAGATATACTAAGTGACATATAAATCCGAACACCCAGTTTAAATGGTTTTATTTTAATAAAATTTTGTATAAGTACTTAATGTAGCATAATAAGTAAATGATAAAAATTTCAAAATGATTGCACTGCTTTAAAGCCCTTTGACCTTTAATAATGTGTGGATGCACCCTGATGTGCTACGCATTCTCCAACGCGCCTAGGCATGCTTCTGATCAGGTGGTCAATGTCCTCCTGTGGTATCTCATTCCAGGCAACCACCAACTACTCTCGAAGTGCTTCTAGAGTCTGAGGAGGACGTTGCAAATTGAGCAATCTCCTACCCATCATATCCCACACGTGCTCAATTGGGGATAAGTCGGGAGATCTTGGTGGCCATGGTAACAATGTGACATCATTATATTGAAAGAAGTCTATTGTGACTCTTGCAACATGTGGTCGGGCATTATCTTGTTGGAAAGTTGGATCTGCCAGGGTGTCAAGATAGGGTAAAAGATGGGGTTCTAGAACTTCATGGATATAACGCTGCACGTTCATGTTACCTCTGATGAAGATTAAAGGTGGCCTGGAACCATAAGCTATAGCACCCCAAATCATAACTCCAACAGTGTGATGAACATGTCTTTCAACAAAACACTGTGGATTCCTCCTTTCACCACGTCGCCTTCTAACCCTGGCACGACCATCGTGCATACCTAAACAAAATCGAGACTCGTCACTAAAGACAATACTGTTCCATTCCTGATCCCAGAGTGACCGTTGTCTGCACCACTCAAGGCGATTACGTCAGTGTTCTCGAGTTAAAAGGGAGGACCCAGTGTGGCCGGTATGAAAACAAGCCAAAACTTCTCATTCGTCGGTAAACACTTCGCATGCCAATAGGTCTTCCGTGTTCTGCAAACCATTCATTTGCAATGGACCTGGTAGTGGAGAAACGGTCCCTTAAGGCCAATAATCTTAGGCGGCGATCTTCACGGTCTGTTGTTCTACGGCGGCGTCCAGTGCCCCTTGCTCTTTGCGTACGGCCTTCTCGAAGCCATGCCTGACAACACCTAACCACAGTGTCTACACTTCTTTGCACTCTAACTACAATTGCCCGAAAAGAAAGTCCAGCTTCCCGAAGTCCCACTATACGGCCCCTATCAAACTCGCTAAGTTGACGAAATCGTGCAGGTCTCCGTACTCTAGGCATCGTAACCGATCGTAAAGGATGTCAAGAACCAAAATCCGCCAACGTTGATTCTTTACTGCGGCTGAAATATTCATTTTTACAGCGTTAGTGAATTAAAAAAAAGCAGTATAAAAACCGGAATGTCCAACTGATAAGGCTGAAAATTTTTAAAACCATTTAAACTGGGTGTTCGGATTTATATGTCACTTAGTATATATATTATTCTTATATTTGTAAAATTGGGTTGGCTAAATAAATGTGGTAGAGTCCACGGCGTACTGTTCTCTCCAACAACAACAATAACACGGTTGTGAAGATTGAAAGTGAATGTCTTCTGGATAATATGTTAATCGATGCGAATGTGAGTTCACGACAAAGTAAATCTATTTTTTTATTTTTTAGACTTTATTTGGCTGGAAATGAAGCAGGGTTATCCATTGCTTAAAGTCAATACTGGAAATGGTACTGAAGAAATTTATATGAACAGGAATTTGAAAAAGCTCAATGATGGTGCGTCGCACAAGCTCAAAATATCATATACTTTTGAGGTGAGTCCTAACTTTATTTTTCTCCTATAGCCTTTCATTCCGAGGAATTTGACTAATACTGTTTGTATGATTTTTTCAGGACATTTTATTCGAAATTGACGATTGCAAGAGTCACTGCAATGTTTGGAAGGAAATCCATCCAAAGGCATTGATAAGAGTGAATGGGCCTCTTCAACTAGGTGGCCTTAAGTTTAGATTTAACGATGAAGAATTCAAAAGTTTCTGGGGTCATTTACCACCTTCAAGCGTTGGTTTTACCGGATGTATAAGAAACTTGACCTACAATAATTATTTTTATAACCTTGGTCAACCTTCTGATGCTTACAATGCATACCCTGATTGTAGCTATGGAGTAATGCAAGCTGTTACTTTTGGAATTGACTCGAACTTCCTGATTGCGATCCTAGTTTGTGTCGCTATCCTCATAAGTAAGTAAAAAAATATTTTGCAGTAGCAATTTCACCAGATGCCTGCGCGAAAATAACCATATGTACCAACCACTTATGCTTACAACTAAATAGGCAGTCCTCATAGTTGGGACTTCTTTTTGCAGGTCAGGCAATAATAAGCAAGTTTTATTAGTAACACTACAAGGTCTGTAAATTAAGTGATGAGATTTTTTTTTTGTTTAATCAAACAATTACAATTTTATATTGTCACCCTCAAAATAAGTTCCTTCTGAAGCCACACAGCGCTGGAAACGGTTCTTCCACTCATCATTCCAATGCTGGAACTCCGATACTGGAATAACCGTCTGCTCGTCGGTTACAATCGTTTGAATATTTTCGACTGTCCCAAAATGGTGGAGGTGATTTTTCATCTTCGAAAAAAAAGTCACAAGGATTCAAGTCAGGCAAATAAGGAGGCTGAGAAGCCACAGGAATGTTTTTACTGGCTAAAAACTCATTTATCCCCGATCACGTCAACCGACGATCTGAACACACAAGATCCATGGTTCTGTCGCTATTTTCATCGGTTCTTGAAGTTGAAGGCATCCCTTCTGAAAATGCCTTAAGCCGCCGAAAAACCTGGGCTCTTGCCAAAGCACTTTCTCTGTATCTCATTTTTTTTTTTCAAGAGCCAAGCCTGTGGCCACCCTGTCCTACTTGTCAACACGTGTGTAACGATGGAAATTGAATATAAACGTCCAAACAATGCAGCATTGGAATGTGCTTTTTGGATATTACGTTAATCGATTGAGTTCATTTTTAAATATAGTATTTTTTTCTTTCAGTACTTCTGCTAGCTGTGGTAGTTCACAGACGAAAACAAGATAGTTTGAACGAGAAAGAAATAGACGACACGCGCGAAAATATTATAAACTACGAGGATGAAGGAGGCGGTGAATGTGACACAAATTACGACCTGACTGTCTTCAGACAAACAAGTATCCTGGAAGAAAAACCTGTCTTACGAGACATCGCGGATGTACCCGCGGACATAAGCTCGTTCCTTGACAACAGAAAAGACACTTGTGATAAAGACCCTGACAATTTACCCTATGACGACGTCCGCCACTATGCATATGAAGGAGACGGAAACAGTACTGGGTCTCTCTCATCTCTAGCTTCCTGTACAGATGACGGAGATCTCAAGTTCAACTATCTATCAAGCTTCGGTCCAAGGTTCCGTAAGTTGGCTGACATGTACGGCGAGGACCCTAGTGATACTGATTCACATGATGGTGGTGAAGAATCGTGGTGCTAGACTGTTAGTATAATATACTTTACGAGAACTTTGTACTTAATGATTGTTTGACCAAAGATAACAATATTTTTGGATATGGGACTGTGAATACGATTTTAATCGAATGATACGAAATTGGGTGATATGCCCTTGGTTGATAGGTCACAGCTGAGACCTAGTGACTGACAAGTTGTTTTATATCATCTGTGCACTCCACAATAAAGTTACTCAAGCTTTATAAGATGTACATAATGTTTCCTAAGCATGGCACACGAGAACGACCGCAATTTTGGCCTATTTGGCAGACCTCAAAAATTTGGTTTGCGTTGGATATGGATATATTACTGAGGAATAGGATTCTGAGTTTTTAGTGTTTGATAGCTCCGTTATTTTTTTATTTTAAAAGATATCTATAAAAGTTAGTAACAAAAACTGTAATCATCTATATACACTTCTTAGATGGAAGAAATGCTGCTGTCTACAGGGTGATTCTTAACTTCATGGCAACACAAAAATGCATTTTTTAAATGGAATACCCTGTATATTGTGCCTGCCAGGCAGACACGCCCGACATCGGCCTCTCATCCTAACCATTTAGAACTGATCGATACGACCGCTTCTTTGTCCCTAGGGAGTCCAGATCCTGGAAGAACCTACAAGAGGCTCTTCCCAGTTCCGCTAACCTTGGGCAGTTCAGAAATCGGATTAATAAAGTTTCTTTGGGATCCTCATATCAGCCGCGGTGTCCAGGAATTTAGACTTCTGCCTGCGCGGCTGCTTCGGTGTAAGAAAAAGATATAGCATACTAGAGGATTTAGTTTACTACTTCTGAGGCTACATGAGGTTTTGTCCGAAAACGCTAAACTTTGAAATTATCTGCATCGCCTATACAGGGTGTTTATAAATGCAAAGAGTATTTGTCTCAAAAATTCCGAATAGTACACCCTGTATATTTTTATTTTTAGGTCATCTTTTTTATATTTCTCATTTTGGTATACATTTTTTTCGGGTTGTATTACTGAATATTAAGTTATTTACAATTACATACAAATTGACTAAATACCACATTTGTGAAAAGGGGGGATTTTTTGTAGGTATCTTTAATTAAGATTTGTACCCATCCACTGAACTGAATTATTCAGTAGTTTAACCCCCAAAGAAAATATATCAAATAAAATCTTATGAAAAGGGTAAATCAAAACCGTAAAAATATACAATTCGAATTGTATCAAACATATACATTTTGCGTTTATATACTAGCACCCTGTATAAATTATGGATCAAATTTAGGAAACGTTTAAACGGCGAGAAACCATGGATATGCAAAAGAGGGTGACTTGACAAGTAGTCAAAGTTGAGGTTTTCATCAGATAGAATCTCCCTTAGCTCCAGAAGTAGTTATCCAGCATATGCTATATCAAACTTTTTCCATTGAAGGGACGATTCAGAATATAATAATTTGTACAGGGTATTCCATTTGGAAAATGCATATTTGTGCTGCTCTGTAGAGAGTGGTGGTTTTATTCATTACAAGAGACTTTGTAAAGCAACTAACTTTCAGATATATATCACCTTATATTTAGAATTTAAAATTTGTATAAAGCGCCTTTACTCAAAATCTAAAATAACAGTGTAAGTTTTAGAGTATTATTATACAGTCGATTTGAACCTATGGAAAATATCCAACTTTAACCACTGACAAGTCAAGGATCAAATGTAAATTCAATTTGAAATTAAAGCTTTTTATTGAACTCTCATGCGGCATATGATTAGCATGTTCTCCAAACAGGTCAAAAACGGTCAGTTTTTGCGGGTGCTCTTGGTGCTGGAGATACAGGGCGAACTGAAATATTGAAAATAATTTTATTGTGGAGTGTATTTTTGAGAGTGCACATATGAAACATGGCACAAAGATGCAATATGTTATATATAAAATGGCTGAGCTGATAAGGATTTACTAAATCAAATGTAGTTGTGCAATTTGGAACTTTGTGATTGATATAGCCAGTTTATCTAAAAATTTATAGCAAAATATCAAGTTTGTTGTATTTTGATTATTACGAATAACAATACCATTGGATGAAATTCATTTCAAAGGGGGCAAGAATGGTTGAATTGAAGATAGCAAGATATCGAATTTTGCTGTCTAACAAAAAGACTCAAACTTGACAAAACTAGCAAGAATAACGTTAACATTTCACTGAGCTTCTATAGATTTTATGGAGTTATTTAGTTTTATTTTGAACAGTATTTTTGTACCAATTACTTGCCAAATTTAAAAAAAAAAGGTGATGTAAAACACTTGATTTTGACTTATATATTACTGTTTTTTGTTCTCATTCGGAAGTGCTGTTCTCGATTATGCAACTTTTTTTGGTAAGAGTCGGTTCATTTTTCCATACATTTGATCGTGGTAAGGATTTCCCATCATTTCCATATGTGCCTGCTCATCTAGGGCCTCGTGGCCGATGTATGAGTCTCCAACCCAAAGTCTAGCCAGGTGACCTACAGTCTTCAGAGTCCCAGACTAGAATTTTTAAGGAAAGTGGACAGACACACACGTCTCATTGCTTTAATTTTGTGATTATCGCTGACAATAATTTATTTATTTTCTTTTCTCGTGGCAGCTATATTACTTTATTACGAATGGTATGGACAATATCTTGGAACAAACATAACAGTGAACAGTGGCCTTTACATTTGATGCCTTCATATATGTAAAGAAGCATGACTAATATAATATATTTTTAGTACCGGTATGATTGTGACTAAATGTAAATTGCTATTTTTTTATATTTGTAAGATAAATATGTGGTCAAAGTTAGTTTATAGTCTAATTCAAGCTATTCTGCTTTTATACTTTTTGGACTATTTATTTTTTCAAATGTAGGTATATCTTTTGTACTATATGAAATAAAACCTAAGTAGATGATGGCAGATGTATCAAGTGTGCAATATTTATTATTCAGTTGGTTCTACATTTTATGATTTCTTTATTCCACAAAATAATCAAATTTTTTAAATAATAATTATTCTTTGCATAAATTGATTAAAGCTGCTTTTGTAACAAAACCTCTTCGGAACGCGTGGACTATCAACCCATTTCCGTTTATGTATTTCGTGTTATAGTATAAAAGATACACTTTATAATAAAATGTGAATGTTATAGTTTATGGTATTTGCTAACCATTCTTATTATAAATATTTGTATGGCCTTACATTGATTCAAGGTGCACCATGCTGCCTTTAAAAATTGATTTCTGATCTCCCCATTTTGACTATTCCACAACCTATTAAGTAAACTATACTTAAATTTAAAATGAGTATTCTATAAAACGCAGCATATGGTTAAATTTTATAAAACCATATTTTTGTCAGTACAGGGCAGTTTTCCTACTTTTGTTACGAATTTATTTTCAATGGTATGTTCTTTTATAGTACTCACAGTAAAATAATATCTCTAAAAGTTTTCTTTGACGAGCTGCCCTGGATAACCATAGCTTGGTATGTTTTTAAATGCAAGGTGCTTTTGATAAGAAATGATACTGGCGGCAGCATTGTAAACTAACAATAGAACCTGTCCACATTCCCTTGAACTGACTTATGTTCGAGTTCCTCGTAAATTTAGAGGTGTAACACGTTTGGCTTGATGCAAGTATCCATTTTCTGGCCCAACAAAGCTTTTTTCTTTTGCGTCCACGTAACTCAACTTTTTCGCTAACAGACTACTACTCGTAAAATCTGAACTCAAAAGGGCACAATTATCAATAAAAAGCGCCTTCATGGAATAAGCTGAATCGTGATCGTGTGAACAGTTCACGGCCCTCTTGTCTATACCTCTGTCTGACTAACCTCCCCAAATCAGCTTTAGCAAGTATTATAAAGATTTTCATTATAAGTTCAATCAGAATTGACAGGACTATTCTTAGGCATTTTTAGCACAAACATTCAAGACAATACTGTTACTCGTACATGGCTGTGAGCCAAAGTGCAGTCATACAGACTTTGCTTACGCGCAGAAGCAATTAGGAATAAATGACACTCGTCGTGGTTCACTTTTCACTCCTCATTCAAGTCACGCAAGAGATCTGAATCGTGCCAACCTGTCATCTGTTTGCCCCGTGAGAGCGTAGGGTTACTCTTGGCCCCTACAGATTCTATCGTTAGCTTCTCAACCGGACAGTGCAAATGATCACTCGTCAAACGCACCCTGTACCATGTAGGATTAATCTTCAAACATTCCCATATACTTTTTGTGATGTGTTTGGCAGCCATAGTTGATTTTTGTGTAAGATTGATCTCATCCGAGATAATTTTTGTATGTATACATTTTTGTATTTTTATTGGAGTTTACTGTGAACACAAATTGTCCCTCAATGAATCATACAAATTAATTTTTGAGCATTATTTATCTTTCTATGGCTAGGTTTAAATTTTGATTGCTTGATCCACTTTGATTCAGATTCGGTACAAAAATTTGTCTATTAATACATTCCTAGGTATATGACGAATGTGTGATATAAAATGTTTCAAAATTGTGTATTATGATTTTTGAAGGGGCAAGTGGATTGTATTGATATATCCATAGTCGAGCAGTGATATGTACTATGTAGTATTTTTTATAACGCACTTATAGCTTATATAATGGTAAGTTTATTCTTCTAGTTAGGTGTTAATTGAAAGAGTATTTTTTTAAATTTTTATAAAGCAACCACGAAATCGTATGTTTAAATAATGTGCCTCTAAGCATATACAGAGCTTAGTAATAGAAATAAATATTGCTCACTGCCATTTAATATGTATTCTGTTTAAATAAATCATTTATCATTTGTTTAGTTTACTTTGTTCACCCTTAAAACACATCAAAATTAATAACATGTCATAATCTTAGCCTTATTACCTTCCCACCAAAAAAGACAATTTTTCACCTTGTGTCTTTTGCAAAGTGGTATTTTCATTGTTGTGCAAAAAATGACACGAATGTGATAGATAGGTTTTATTCAAAATATAATTACAATACAATAAATCATATTGGATATGTAAAAACATGTATTTATGAAAATCAGTATAAACATAAAGGTTACATAAATCAACAGAAGGATAAGCAACAAATAGATAAAAATATAAATTAAAGCAGTTAACGAAATAAATACAATAGAGCAGTCAAAGATCCACTGGTGGTGGAGTATACAAAGTAAAAACACTGATTGACTTATTCTCCAGGAAGATGCCCAACCATATACTGTATTTGGACGTTGTTCAGATACAATTTTATCGTCACAGCCATGTTGCCAAACAGGACAACAGTAATCATATTAGAAGTAATAAAAACAGACTCCATTTTACTTTTAAAGAAAATTATTTATTAAACATGCACCTTTACAAAGAAACCTGTTAAACCCCTCTCGCAATTACTCAAGATTTCGTATTCATAAAATGTTTCAATGAAAGAAAAGGAAATCGCATAGAGCGCGCCAACAGCCCGAGTACGGCAACATTGACACCTAAAGACGGTGGTCGACACGAATATAGTTGAAGGCATAAGTGATTGGCGGAAGCACGATGCGTATGCATCTATTCGCACAGGCACATCTTTCGAATTAATTGGGTATCTTCTTGTGGAATATGTTAACCAATGATGAATATACCCCTAAAAATTTCACAAAAAGCACTTGCTGCACGTCAAAATTCGCAACTTTCAAATTAGTGATGCGGTAACTTTGACACGCAGCGTATTTCCAAGTATTTCCGTAAGCATAAGTCAACTTCTACTGTTGTCTAATGTCAAAAAAATCTAATGATTTTGACAGTGAGTACCTAGAAAGCTACATAAGAAAATTGAACCTGATAAGAAAATGTAGAAGTTTAGATTTGATAATAATTACAAATGCTTTGTAAAAAATAGATATAAATTACACTTAACTTTTCCCAAATTCCATACTACAAAAATTACAACTTTACAAAATACCTCTGCTACTACGGACACTATTGTAATTGGGGTTTTATTTTTTATACAGTATGCGTTTAGTAGGATCGTAGTTTTTGTTTCTAAAAGCTCGTCATTTTAATAAGTATCATAATTTGATACGTGTTATACCTATAAAAGCCTTTATTTCCAAGTTATAAACTTAAATTTGTACCCACCTGTTTATAAAAATAATATAGTGAATAACTTAGTAACTACATTAAAAACAATAATATGAAGTGCGTTTCTAAGAAGCACACAAATAGTCTAAGAAATAGAGGCCGCCAGGGAATTAATATATAACTATACTTTTAGAAAGTATACAAGATTGTAAACTGGAAATTCAACTTCGTACGTAAATAAATGTTCCGAGAGCCATCTGGCTTTCAATGCAGTAGCATCACTAAAAACAAGATCAGTTTTCGTCCAGGAGTGTGATGCAGCTCTTCAAAGTTTAGAGCTCCTGTGAAAGACGACCTATTAATTATAACAGGCCCACAAAATAAAAAAGTGATGGAATCCAACTATGTTTTCCCATGTATTTTGTAACATGAATCTGAAATCAAAATTGGGGGAAGACGGACAAATATATGAAAGTAATTTAGGCATCAAAATTATTTTTTTTTTAAAATGCCTGCATTACTTTTTTATCTGGCCACCGACCCCCAATTTTGACTTCAGATTCGTGATCAGCGTGAAAATTTATGTACCTACAAGAACACCACTATTTTCATTTTGTGTGCCTGTGTAACTAATTAAAATGTTTAATAAAAATACTGAGAAAATGTCATTTTTGACAGTGATTGTGTATACGATTCGGCATAGAGGTAAAAAATAATGATAAAATTGAAGTGAATAAAAAATGTGAGGTCATCAACTACAATAGGATAATGACGACTATCAAAGCATCTTAGATTGATATTGGCGTATAAAATCACAATTCAGCAATTTTTCAACAAGAATCTACGAGTCGCCACAAGATCAAATCATGCCTCTATTTCCTAGATCGTAACAACTTCCAGATAAATATTCGCAAAAAAAATTACAGAGGCGCCACCTAGCGGCGATATCAGAACCAGTACCGGCTCATAAGAAATATTAAAAAATAGGTCAGTCGTTCCTTAAGGTCTCCATATTGTGAGGTAGTGGTGCCAAAGATAGGTACTTTTCAATACTGATTATACCCGTTACTTTTATTACATGTACCAGGTGCTTCTGTCTAGTGTCTACAGACAAAAATACAAGCTAAGTCGCGATGTTGCCAGGCGCCAGGTGTAAAATGAGAGACTCTGGTACAGCTATAGTTCTTTTCATGGTTTCGGTGATACGAAATAAGTATGCAATGCGTAACTTCCGTAAAGGAAATGGCACACTGCACAACCCGATCCTTAACGCAAATTATACTTGCTCTTGCACACATGAGCGTGAATAAGACCTTTTTTTACTTACGTCAATAAATCTAACACAACATTTTAATTGTATCTGTAAGGATTGTTATGTTTTATATTGACGATCAACAAAAAGGCAAACTCAAATCGCACACCCACGACAAGCAAGTTGTCAAACTGACAGTGAAAATCAGCGGAAGACTTATACGTTAACGAAACATCTTTTAAGGCGGCGAGACAATTAAAAGACTGTGAAGTTACACAAACAACCGTCCGCTCATCGAGGACGATTGCATATGTATGTGTGATGGCGATGGATGTATGAAAGCAATTCCTGTGATCCGCCAAAACCCATACAACGATCTATATGTTCACATTTTGTGACAGCGCGTTTTTCGCAATAATGATTGCATTTGAAAACTGAAATTGGCACATTCCCACAGCAATAACGTAGTTACCAATTTGATGTTACGAGTAGTCTACTGTGAGCATCTTCAAGAACCTACTAATAGTCGGCGAGCGTATTCAGAACGTCCTCAATGTTTCTATCAGAGCTGCGTCGGTTTGTTTATGTCATGCAACAGCCGTCTGGGTGCACCGAGTACAAGACCTACACAGCCCCAAATGTTGCAAATTTATGAAGAATTCAAAAATAGTGTTCTTGAATCGAACAACAATCAAAACATGTGACAGGGCAGGACTTGGAATTCGGAACCAAATACGTAGTGTAGTAGTCTTAAATTCCTTTTTTCGTTTTCCGTCATGTTTTACCGCAAATTAACTTTGTTATTTCAAACGTAGTGAAAAGTCCTAACTTTAAGAAAACCTGTTTATACCGTTTTCAAACTTCCTTGAAAATACGTGGGAAATCCTAATACCACCGCTTGCGAGATGGTTTTCAATGATGGATATAAATTGTATAACACTGAATGTAGCATTTTTTACACCTGTCGGTCCGATTTTTTGAAGAAATATCCCAAACATCATCAAATAAAAAGAAATTTTATTTTGTACTTACGGTATGTATCTTTTCAAATTCTTCCAACAAGCAACGACCCATCTGATAACGACTTCCGGTCCCTCATCTGTCGAGTCGGTGGAAGGTAAAATTAACAGAACTGCCATTTAAACAACTTTAAAAAATTAAGTAGCATTACCTTTTATGACCCCACATGGATTTACGTGGTGTCGACATCGCAAAACGGCAAACATTTATCTGCATTTCTAAAATTTTCGCATTCACAGTACTAAATCCCCACTCAGAAAAGATTTGCTACCCCTCGTTTTTCAAAGTCTTAGGGGTAGGTACACTTTTACAGAAAGTTTTATCTTGCTGATGATCCACCACTTCCGACTCAAAAAAATCATGCGTGCGCCCATAGTCAATATGTGAAAATATTACTCAATGTAAGCGTTTGTTTCTTTTGTAAAAATCTATGATTCAAATTTTACCTTCCATTTGGGATTCGCCATAGTTGGGTGAGGTCCCCCTACGCATTTTGAAATGAAACCCCTGAGGAGCATTCTACGCCTCTGGACAGTGGTATACGATTTAGGGCCTTAGCGGCTACTCCGTATACACATCTCACGCACAATCAAACATTAACTGAGTGATCCTGATAGCATTGCCGTTGTCACAAAGCGCCTAGCTCCCCAATTCGTGTTCAGGTGACGCTCTTTGGATAATTATAAATATCAGCTACTAAATCACAGTTAGTGAAATATCTGTCACCACTAGTCGAAACTGTCAAAACAAATACGACATTATCACAGTAAAGAGGCCCCAAGTAAAGGAACACGTATGCAGTCGACAAATTCTGATTCTGCGCCGCTAGGTGGGCACGCAGAAAATATAGATAGGTTATAACCATCGCAAATACTAGATCCTATAGTTAAAATTACAAGTAGATCCATTTTTGAGCTCTACAAGAGCCATAGCACCCTGTATTTCCTCGCTAGAAATCTCTTTACTTTTACCACCTTGGACACAAACCAAGACCGATGGTCGTTTCAGATTCTCATGCATGACATTAGGTACTGCCTCAGTGGTACTTTCCCCATACGCGTCTTCTCCCCAGTTGATGGGGCAAGCCAGGTCATTTGTGGACTCCCAGAGACTGGGGTCCTGCACGGCTTCACGCAACCAACGCTTCTTGGGCAATTCTGAAGGCTTCGATGATTGCATATCGAACTCTGGCGATTCAAGACTGCTGTAGGTGGATGAATCCAAGTCTTCCAAGTCAGATTTCGGCGAGTCTGCAATATCATCAGCTAAGCTGTGTTGAGAGCACCCCGAGAAATAGGCTGAACTACCGCTACTGAATACTGATTCTTCCCTTTTGAAGATCGACCTCTTTGGTGTGGTGTCTAGATTCTCGTTTGAACTGCTCGACTTCTTTCGCCTGCAAAAAATAAATGAACAAGGTTAATTTCCATTGGACTACAAGGAAGTACAGAAATATAGTCAAAAAAATGGCGTCAAGACTCTTCACTTCCCTTATCAGTACATAAAGGCAGCACAAACTAGAAACTCTGAGAAAACAGTCAGTCCATCAGGTCTATACAATTCGTCCATAGATACTCTTTCCCTGCTCAGCAGAAATATACTAAGTGATATATACTAAGTGACATATAAATCCGAACACCCTGTTTAAATGGTTTTATTTTAATAAAATTTTGTATAAGTACTTAATGAAGCATAATAAGAAAATGATAAAAATTTCAAAATGATTGCACTGCTTTAAAGCCCTTTGACCTTTAATAATGTGTGGATGCACCCTGATGTGCTAAGCATTCTCCAACGCGCCTAGGCATGCTTCTGATCAGGTGGTCAATGTCCTCCTGTGGTATCTCATTCCAGGCAACCACCAACTCCTCTCGAAGTGCTTCTAGAGTCTGAGGAGGACGTTGCAAATTGAGCAATCTCCTACCCATCATATCCCACACGTGCTCAATTGGGGATAAGTCGGGAGATCTTGGTGGCCATGGTAACAATGTGACATCATTATGTTGAAAGAAGTCTATTGTGACTCTTGCAACATGTGGTCGGGCATTATCTTGTTGGAAAGTTGGATCTGCCAGGGTGTCAAGATAGGGTAAAAGATGGGGTTCTAGAACTTCGTGGATATAACGCTGCGCGTTCATGTTACCTCTGATGAAGATTAAAGGTGTCCTGGAACCATAAGCTATAGCACCCCAAACCATAACTCCAACAGTGTGATGAGCATGTCTTTCAACAAAAAACTGTGGATTCCTCCTTTCACCACGTCGCCTTCTAACCCTGTCACGACCATCGTGCATGCCTAAACAAAATCGAGACTCGTCACTAAAGACAATACTGTTCCATTCCTGATCCCAGAGTGACCGTTGTCTGCACCACTCAAGGCGATTACGTCGGTGTTCTCGAGTTAAAGGGAGGACCCAGTGTGGCCGGTATGAAAACAAGCCAAAACTTCTCATTCGTCGGTAAACACTTCGCATGCCAATAGGTCTTCCGTGTTCTGCAAACCATTCATTTGCAATGGACCTGGTAGTGGAGAAACGGTCCCTTAAGGCCAATAATCTTAGGCGGCGATCTTCACGGTCTGTTGTTCTACGGCGGCGTCCAGTGCCCCTTGCTCTTTGCGTACGGCCTTCTCGAAGCCATGCCTGACAACACCTAACCACAGTGTTTACACATCTTTGCACTCTAACTGCAATTGCCCGAAAAGAAAGTCCAGCTTCCCGAAGTCCCACTATATGGCCAGTGCCTAATATCATACCCAGTGAAACATGCACTTATCATCTTAAAGCTTCTAGTGTATTTTAAACACACTTTAGGCTATATTTAACATTAAAAATCGAAATAAAAACGACTGAAATTACCCAAATTTTGATTTGAAATGATTACTTCCTGTTAGCACCTTCATTTTTATTAAACATCAAATTTAATCTATTTATCAAAAAAATTCCCTATATAACCCCCCCATATATGTATATATATTATCCCAATGTAATGCTTTTGAATTTGAAAAAATTGTTAAGAATTTTAAGTATGGCCATTCTCTCGAAGCCTGTTACTTAGCAAATAAACATGCCACAAGAAAAATGGTGTTTTCTCTTTCACACCCTGGATTTACAAATAAGCAAATTTTGATAGCTGACTTTTTTTTCAATGTCTGCTTCACATGGAATGCCCTGATACCGTGTTATATCAACTTGCTTCAATTCAAAAGGCATATCCAAATCTGCAATAAAATGTAGTTGCAATTTTTGTAACAAACTTTTTTAGGTACCAAGCCCACACTAAAAACACCCTGTAGATGCCCATTTTCGCACAGGCATGTCTTTTAATATCTTCTGATGCAATATGTTAATCAATGTTGAGACTGAGACTCACCTATCCCAATTTTTCAACCATTCCCTCACTTCAGCATTGTGTGCCTCATCATACTTTTTGTTGACATTGGCATCAGTTTTCATTATGAACCTCTTAAGCTGACCGTCAGGGTGATCAGGACAGTGTCTATTGGCATGTGTGAATCTCCTGGAGCAATTAGGGGTAGCACATATGAATGGCTTCTCGCCAGTGTGCAACCTTTGATGGGTCTTCAGTTGGCCTGACTGAGCAAATTTTCTGGGACACCTTGGGTAGTCGCAGACATAAGGTTTTTCACCTGAGAGAGATAAAAAACAAAATATATTACATGAGTTTGCAACCAAATGAAACCTGATTAAGATAGATAATTTGGAATACTGTCTTCACATCTCAATAAATCATGAAGTGCAAAGGGACTGAATATGAAGTACAAAAAAGGGTTGGTTAGGAGCCCCTGTGGATCATATTGTCAAATTGTGACAGATTTAGAATCTAAATTACCTAAACAACAAGGTTTTGTCAAGTTTGTGGATATGGGTAGGAAGATATCTATACTTTTAGGCCGATGTAGTTCAAAATTTCCATTTTCAACTCTCACTGTTAAAAACAAATGATACATGGTACTCTTGCAAAATTTAGGGTGTTCAATTCAAAAACAATTATCAAAAAATCATGATGGGGCCAATTAGAGGTAAACAGTGGTTCATTCTGGACCCTGCATGAGTCATAGCGCCAAAATGACGTTAAATGCAGAATCTACGGGTTTAATTTACACCAGGCTTAAATCAAAATCATAGTTATGAACAAAAAATTTCATGGATAACATTATTATCATCAAAACTACATATTTTTACATTTGTTAAAAAGTAGATATTACACTATTCATCCAAAATTTTGTTTGCATCCATACACCAATAAGCATCAGAGTATGTATCACAATTCAGTATAAAATCAAACAAGTGTAAATATGCAAGTAGGTTAAAAGGATTTAAATTTTAAATACAATTAGTTGATTTAATAATGAAATATGTTCTATAAAAAATTAAAACCTAAAAAATTATATTCAATGTTTAAATCGAAGGAAATGGCATCAGTACTGAAAACTTGCTAACAAGCAAAATCTAAAGATGCTATCTGATACGACTTCCTCAAGTTAAATGACCTCTCTTCACATTTCATTGAAAAAATAATTACTGCCATGGAAAGTAGACATACACTATAAAAAACGAGCAATATATCAATGAAATATATAAAGTATAAAGCTAGAATAAGTTTTAAGCAACAGAAACATCTGCCAAGGACAAAATTACGAAAAACTGGACAGGGCAAAGACATTTAAAAAACGTAGCATTTAAAGTTCATACCTGTGTGAGTTCTCAGATGAGCTTGTAGAGACTTTTCTCGTGGAAAAACCCTGCCGCAATATTTGCACTTAATGGAACTAGGGGATGTAGAGCCTTCCAAAATGAGCGTATTCAACAAATCTGCCCTAGGACGGCCCCTACGACTCTCGCTAGGCGACAAGACATGGTTTTTCTCGGTTACGGTTGGGCTTCCATTATTCGAACGGTTTTCGAGTATATTCACTGATTTTGACTTCAATATGCGATTTGTAGGAGTTACTTCGATGTCACTATCATTGCCCGATGTTAATTTCGTTTTTTTCGGTGTTTGGTACATTATTTTAATTTCTTTAATAAAATTTTTGACCACACCAACGCCAATCAAAACAAAGCATCACCGAAGATGGCGCTCAAAAACGGGAGAACCATGAACTAAAACCTCACAACTATCAAAGTCCTCCTCTGCCAGTATAGCAGAAATTGACATTCTGAGATTCATAAGTTCAGATTTCGGTCAGCAGATGGCGGGATAAAACTCGCGCTAAAAGTAGTTCGTTATTTTTAAATTTAAATAGGAGCAAATGTATTTTACTATCATTTTACTTCAGAAACGTACAGAAGTAAAGTTTGTAAGCTTTGATACACGTTACCCACTTCCAAAAAGGATATTTTTCAAACTGAAACAGTTGTGAAGAATTGACTTCTTGTTCCATAATCTCAATCAACACTAAGAACAAATGAGCAGTCATACCGACCAGTTCTTGATGCACACAGTTCAAGTAATTTAATATATATATATATAGAGAGAGACAGAAAATTATCATGCGGAGAAAGGTATATAACAAAAAATAGGAGAATAATGAGCAAAATCCGCAAAAAGAAGGAAAGTGGATTCGAGCAGAAAATGGAATAGGTAACCAGAGCGATACGTATTTCTGCTGGTTGGCTTCATCAGGCCTGAAGTGGGTGCACATATGTAACTACAAAAGTAGATACACATGCCCATACATCCGGATACGGGTGTAACCTAAGGAAACAAAGATGGAGAGGGAAAATAACACACACCAAGTTCACAACAAGAGCCAACCTACAGATTGTAGTATGAAATGGCTAGGAGACCTCGAATTTTCAAGGCGTTGTTCAAGGGGATGTTTCCTCAGGTTACATAAATGCCACGTACTTATTTGTTCTCATATAATAAAATAATGGCTTTCGAAATCCTGAATCCGCCCCTGAAACAAACCAGGATGGGACGAGTAGACTGCAGATAGTGGTGAACAGCATCAATACTGCTGTTATTCAAGCAGATCTTCGTGAAGGAAAAATTCTTTCATCAATGTTATTCCTTCTAGTGCACCCTTGCACCCGATCATTCTGAGAGTGGTGCTAGACTAACCAAATCAAAATGACATGGTATTTTTTTCTTCCTTCAAAACTATTCAGTCTTCTTCTATTACGGTTTTACTCCCGCTCACCTGTTTTTAACATACATCAGTAGTCTTGTAGAATTAACTGACGTGATTAGAATACATTAATCAATGCTTGTTGTCTTTGCCATGATGTTTGTGTTTGTGTTCCACTTTGCTTGGCATCAGAACTCATCTTCGTAACCGTAATATCTTGTTTTTCACTTACGCCACCAAGATTCTCAGGAAAGAAGCCAAAATAGAAGTGAAGAAACTTTATTGATGCAACCTAATTCACGCAAATTGCTGAGCATGTTGCCCCAAGGGTAGGTTTAGGGATCTGTCTAGGGGGGGCGCAGCGGTGGTCACAGCATTCATGTTGAGTATGAGGGCGGATTCACCATTTGTGTCAGGGGAAAGCCATAGGATTCATGTCCAGGAAAATATTTGTCTCGGGGAGGGGGAGGGGCGCGATTAAAAATTGAGGAGCGGGGGTCACAGCGACCCTATCCGTGTACTCATATGGTGTAGCCTAAATGTGATTTAAGCAATAAATCTAATTTAAAAGGAAAATTTTAATAAAATTAATTCTTTTTTGTCTTCTTGTAAATCGATTTACGACTTCTTCTGTATCGATGGACGTACAGGGTCTGTCAGAAAGAACGCATGTTTTTTAAATGAGTAGTACAGTCAAAATAAGTATAAGAAAAAATATTTTATTATATCAAAATACTCAGAAATACATGCCATTTTTTGAGTAAAGCAAAATTTATGTTCTAAAAACTAATCAAGCCTCTCCCCAAGATGCGTCGTACAGAGGACGCGTGGATCCCTAGGGAACTCGCACGCAAACGGACAGAACTCTCATTCTGTCTACGTTTTCGGTGGTTATAACAGTACGGTTTCGCTCTGGTGGTTTTTTCTTCATCACATTACCTGTTGTGTGGAATGCTTCCACCTATCTCAAAATGGTGTTACGGTCTGGTACTGTCCCACTACGTGGAACACGAATGCGAAAGCGAAACTCACCTTGCGTTCAAACGACAGACTCGCCATTTTGAAAGTACCGACGAACAGTGAACACACGATGCTCAACGTTCCAAACCATCTTGCCAACTGAAACGGCACTTCTCTCACTATCCAATACGCCCTTCCCCACCGACACAGGACCAGCCCACTCGATGTAGTATCCATTCGAAAAACATGCGTTCTTTATGACGGACCCTGTATAAAAGTGCCAGTCCAGTTCGTGCCAGGGTTAGAAGGCGACGTGGTGAAAGGAGGAATCCACAGTTTTTTGTTGAAAGACATGTTCATCACACTGTTGGAGTTATGGTTTGGGGTGCTATAGCTTATGGTTCCAGGTCACCTTTAATCTCTATCAGAGGTAACATGAACGCGCAGCGTTATATCCACGAAGTTCTAGAACCCCATCTTTTACCCTATCTTGACACCCTGGCAGATCCAACTTTCCAACAAGATAATGCCCGACCACATGTTGCAAGAGTCACAATAGACTTCTTTCAACATAATGATGTCACATTGTTACCATGGCCACCAAGATGTCCCGACTTATCCCCAATTGAGCACGTGTGGGATATGATGGGTAGGAGATTGCTCAATTTGCAACGTCCTCCTCAGACTCTAAAAGCACTGCGAGAGGAGTTGGTGGGTGCCTGGAATGAGATACCACAGGAGGACATTGACCACCTGATCAGAATCATGCCTAGGCGCGTTGGAGAATGCGTAGCACATCAGGGTGCATCCACACATTATTAAAGGTCAAAGGGCTTTAAAGCAGTGCAATCATTTTGAAATTTTTATCATTTACTTATTATGCTTCACTAAGTACTTATACAAAATTTTATTAAAATAAAACCATTTAAACTGGGTGTTCGGATTTATATGTCACTTAGTATATTTTCGTGATCTGTTAGCGTCTTGAATTGTCTTCATTCTGTCAAGGCCTACGAACGTGCTTTATTTCATCTTAGTATCAGTTAAGATGGCTTTTGGGATACCCTGTAGATTTGTCGTACGAAGTGTTGCTCCTCATAAAAAATAGCAAGTTATGTGGAATATTAGAAAATAGCCAACTTTGCGTTTTGAAATGAAATCAAGTACTAACAAAGAAAAATGCTGATGGTTTTTCCCAGTTCTACTAACCTTAGTCAGTTCAAAAATCGTATTAACAAAATTTCGTTGGGATCATCATAGCAGCCGAGGTGTTCCGGCATTTAGGCTTCTGCCTGTGCAGCTGCTTTGATATAAAAAAAATTACTCTTAATAATAAGGATAGGAAAAAAATGAAAATCCAAAATGTACTTAAGTTAGTATCTACATTTCTTTTTTGTTTAGGAAAAAGCGAAAGATTTGGGTTCATGATATCAATTGTGATCGGGAAAGCGAACGGAATTTCATACAATATTTCATAAACTAAGGGAGGATAGAGAGATATTTTTTGTCTATTTTAGAATGACTGTGGACTGTTTTGATTATATTTTGAATTTGATAAAACCAGAAGAACATGAACAGCAGCCCGACCTCGGAGACTTTGAAAATTTTGCAAACGATGCCCAAAGATCAACAAACGCAGCGTTTCAAATACGTGAAAAATTTGTTTCATATTTTAATAATTACATAGATAAGTGTTAAAAGATAATTTTTTGTCTAACTAAAAATCTATAAAAGTAAAAACTGTAGCTACTTACCCGTCGTTCCACCTATAGATAAAGCAATTTCGTTCCGTATTTTTTTTTATTTATATTCTTATAGCCACTGTGAGATAAGACATTTTCGAAGTTTTTCGGTATCACACATGTTTGCTACTACTCCGTAGAAAGAATATCGCGCGAACTATGCAGGCAAATGATGCATGCAGCGTTCTACCGCAGGCCGCAAGTTGGCAGCGGTAGAACTCAGCAAAGAGAGCGGGCGCGTTTACCAGATCCTCGCAGGTGTGCGCACTTCGGTCTAGTCACAAGTGCCTTATTTCTCGCCACCGCGATCGCTATCGCCACCGCGGCCGCCACCGCTCTGGTTTGCGCCCAACATTAGTCGTCACACAAACTGACTCTGGTCGCAAGGTTTCCGGACAGACATGTCGGGTTTAACGACTGTTACGAAAAGCAGGATCCAGGATATCGATATTTATCGGTTTTCCGATATATCGTTGCATCCCTAGATATCACGTTGCCATGACAATATCCAACTTTAAAGTAACAATCCCGTTACACATCCTGCCATCATGAGATACATTCAGACTCCAGCGATTGCCAAGAGAAGATAGTTTCAGACCTGGGAGCCACGTCGGCCAAAAGCTATCATGTTAACATCCCAAGCGCTCCGACATTTCTCCTGATAGAGGAAATCGATCAGTAATAAAGATAACTACCGAAACCAAGCAATCGGGATCCGGAAGTCCCATAACATCCCCCAGAGACTGGAGGCATGACACCTGTATGAACCAGTTAATTTCCAAATCCTTATCGGCAATTATTCAGCCGTAAGCCATTAATAGAAATATAGGTATATCATCTCTGACGATGGTCTTTATAAATATGACTTACGACATTCACTATCATAAATATAAAATTATTATGGCTATAAATCTATGCAGTACAGTAGAATAAAGGAAATACTCAGTGATTGCTCACCTTTCAGTACCAAAACACTACACCCAAGAGCACATCAAGGCTGTAATTAGGTCCACGACACTACTTATTCTGGGAAGCGATCACTTGCGTATACAGGGTGTCCCAGAAGTCGACGTCAAGCCAAAACCGGGTGATAGGCAGTCATAACAGCTATCAGAAAAATATTTAAAAAAATTTTATGTATGTGTTTTGAAAATTATAGGTCTTTGAAAAAGATATAGAAATTTCACACCCTACGGCAGTCTGTCAACTCCTGTTACTACAGATATTACAGATTCCTGTCCAATGGTTTATCTTGAAGGCGATATTGAGATTTATCTTCTCTCATCAAATGAGGGTTTGCTACGTGCCACTCGTGTAAGTTATGCCGGTTCATGTACCCATCTTTCTTAAATGTGGTCTCATCCGACCATAAATTTTTTTCAAAGAACTATGGATCTTTCCTGTGTGTTTCTAACATTGTGCGACAAAAAGCAACTCGGGGCTCATAATTCCGGGGCAGGAGAGGTTGAACACGCTGTATGTGGTATGGATGTGAAGCACATCACTTACTTGCTATTGCACACTTTGATACCGATCAATACTCCTTCCTTTACTGCGCATCTTTACATGTTCGTGCTTGTTGATTTCGTACTGTTACTAATT